GACAGAGACATACATGCAGAGAAAGACGCACACAGACAAATGCACTCGTTCCCAGTCATACAGATATCAGGCTCTGGTATCATGTGTTACTGAATACATTAGTGAGTGGTGAGAGTGGCTCAGCCACTTCATCTATGATTGCCCCCCCTACCCCCCTCAAATAGCCAGGACGGGGCAGTGAGCCTGTCAGTCAATGACACAGACTATAGAACTCCGTCAATTAACAAAATCAAGAGGATTATTTCAAATAAAACCTGGACGGTAGATTGCTTATGTCTGCAATGCTGTTGGATATTCAGACTGCAAGACAAATTCTCAAGCTGAACAAGCCCTTCAGATAACCACAGGTTGTTGAACACACACCACGATGAACGGAGAGACTTTCCTCTATTTATTGTAAAGTGGAGCAACTTTGTGAATGCAGCAGCCAATTTGCACACAGCAATGTCCCCAAAACAGCCATGAAGCGAACAATCAATTTTATTTGGAGGGGTGGGGGGGGTGGATTGTTTGCTAGGACATCGGGAGCGAGAAATCCCTTCTCATTTTTTTACTAAACAAAATCCACCCGAACAGGCAGACGACATTGGTTTAACGGCTCAGTGTTTGGGGCAAAGTCGGGTAATTGGAATTGAGGCACGGATCGACCATTGATCTAATTGAATGATGGAATAGGCTCGAGGGGCTGAACGGCCTACTCCTGTACTTATGTTCCTCATCCGAAGGACGGCACTTCCAACAATGTAGTGGTGCTCAAAGAGGTAGGTTTTATAGTGGGTCTAGAGACAGAATGGGGGTGTGGACAAGGAGTTGGAGGGGTAGAGGGAGGGAGCTCCAGAAGTTAAGTGGAACAGCTCAGAGTTCAACATATCTGACTCGTCTCATCCTTCACCCGCTGAGCCTCACTGGCTCCATAAAGTGATTTTAATGCCTTTTAATTCAATTAAACGCAAACAAAGTTGGGATGTAATAATGAGCGATTATTAGAGTGATTATGTGCGTAAGGCAGCGATCTCAAATTGCTTGCCATGTGTTCAGCCTCCCCCTCTCCCCACCTCAGGCCATTAGTCATCCATTCCTCTCAATTAACAAGCCAATTATTTGAGTGTTAATCATTTGAGCAACTTATCGGAGAGATTCAATTCTTCCCTGACGTTTCTGTGGCTTAAAGCCAGACTCTATTGTGGATTTTACATTAGGAAGATAGCAACCTAGGAACAAGAGTAGATCATTCAGCCTCCTGAGCCTGTTCCACCATTCTATTAGATCAGGGCTGATCTGTACCTCAACTCCAATGACTTGCCTTTGCTCCATATCCCTGGATTTCCTAACAGTAACATGCTTTTATACAGCTCCCTTTGTGATTATCCACCTCAGTCTTGAAAATGTGAATGGATCCACCATCCACAGCCTTTTGGGGGAAAGAGCCTTGGGACGTCCTCCTGACCTGAAAGGCGTTATACAAATATAATTTGCTGTTGTTGTTGAGAGTTCCAGATTTCCACTACCGTTTGGGTGAAAAACTGCCTCCTGATTTCACTCTAATTGCCCCCTTGTTCTGGGTTTTCTCACCAGAGGAAACAGTTAATCTATAGCTACTCTATCAAATCCCTTTATTATTTTCAACACCTCAATCAGATCACCCCTCAACCCTTGCGACCACTTTACACTGGGGATCAGCTGTAAGACAGGAAGGCCCCCGGCTTAAACTGAGGTGCAGTTACACTCCCAGTTTACCCCCTTGGCTGACCGTCTGACTCCGTATCTGCACTGACCTCGGTTACAGGGACTCTGAATGACACTCACACATCCCATTATAACACAGGATCTCAATTTATGCCCCCACAATTGCCTCATTATAAGGCAATCGGACTATATTCTGCAGCCATCAAAGTATAGTTTTGTTTTGGTTAACATATTGACACCCAAAAACCCATCACCATGCTTGAAAATATCCAAGCCAGACAGAGTTCCGTGCATGTCATCCATTGGGGTAACTGCGGATGTTAACTAGCTAGAACCTCACCATTTGCAATTGAGAGCATTGTTAGGGCTTTGGTTCTCAGGGTTAACAGGAGCCGAGTGGGTAGAATCCCCAGGCCCCGGAGAAAATTCAACACATTAAATGATAATTATCACATGGACAGAAACCTGCGGTTAAAGGCTGTGCTTAACATCGGGTTATCACATGGACAGAAATCTGCGGTTAAAGGCTGTGCTTAACATCGGGCTTACCCTCCACCGCCCCCCATCCCAGATAATGTTGTTGAGATAATGCTTTGTGCCAGAGAGTCAGTCTCAGTCTAAACTAAAACGCAGACACCCACACAATAATTCAGACACAATGCAAGGGTTTAAAGGTAATGAGAGTGTTTCAGAGGATATATGTTGACGAGCCCTTTTAGTGGGCAATTTGAGGGACAAGAGAACATGAGTCTAAGATTATAACACAGAGAGTAATTTGTGGAATCACCTTTTCTCTATTAAGGTGGTCAGAATATGGAACAAGATGCATATTTCTTATGAAGAATTTTTTGAAGAAATATCGCAATTTAGTTTCCCCCCACACACTACAGAGAACTAAAGAATTAAATTGGAGTTGTGTCGGATGGATAGCTCCAAGTTTGAACCAGAGCTGTAACAAGATGAAAGGATATTGGGAGGGAACTGGGAAGTAGAATTGATATTTTATACAAAAAAACATTCATTTAGACAAACGGGCAAACTGGCATTGATGTTTAGTTAGGTGTCAGATTGGTTCAGTCAATAGTACTCCCGTCTTCGAGTCAGAAGGTTGTGGGTTCAAAGCCCATAAGAGGAACTTCCATACAGTACTAGGCGAGCACTACATTATCAGAGGTGCCGTGGGATGAGACATTAAACCATCCCGTCTCCCTCTTCAGGTGGACGTTAAAGATCCTATGGCACAATTGGCAAAGAGAAGGGTGACAATTGGCTGACAATTCCCCAAATAAAATCGGTCACTCACTTCATGGCTCTTTGTAGGACTTTCCTTCGCACAAATTGGCTGCCGCGTTCAGCCACAGTCACTACAAAGTGGAGCCTGTGAGATGTGCTGCTGGCGTGAAAGGCGCTATAGCAAATGCAATAATTATTACTCTAAGAAATGAAGAGGTTGAGGGAGTTTTGTTACAGAATTAGTGGATGCTAGCTGCGGGCTGTGTAAGAATTCTGGTCTTAGTGTTGAAACTCGCTCCCCAAACTCGGTGTTTTTTAATCTTTCTTTCTATATTATATTTGGGGAATGAAACAAGGGTTTGAAGAGAAGGCGTCTTCTTAGTTGCTTATTGCTGACAGTGTGTGATATTGCAGTGGGGCCATGAGCCTACAGATATTTGATTTCAGTGGGGGGGGATAGAGAGAGAATGATGAGGAGAGAGAGGATGGTGGGGAGAGAGAGCTTAAACTGTGGCTTATTGACAGGTGTTGTTGTATCGCCCTTTATTTTGCTCCTGACACTGATCTCTGATATACGAGGGTGGCAATTGGGAGATGCACCCACTGGAATTCCAACCAGTCTCAGCCTTGTGCGCTCATTTTGCCTTCAAGCTTAATCTCACTCACACACAATTGTGGACGATGGTGAAATCCAGTCTTAATCTGAAAGCCAGTTTTTTTCTTACAATTATTCAAAAGGACCTGACTCCCAAATACTGAGGACCCACGTGGCTCAGCAACCGGACTACCGAGCCCACCACAGATAGCTATGACAACAGTAGCTTGCACTTTAACAGAGCTGCTCATGAACACCTTGAAGACAATAAGAGAAGCAGGAGAAAGGGCAGAAAATATAACTGTGTTGACCAAAGAGAGGGTTTTTGAAGGCGGGAGGAGAAAGAGCTTGAGGGAAAGGGGTTTGGGGAAAAAGTTGGAGAGCGTGGAGTGGGGCACAATGGCTGATAACATGGCCACTGATGAGAGAGTGAAGAATGAGTAGTCAGAATGGCAGAGGGTATGAGTGGGAGAATAAGCTCCAGGAGATAACTAAGGGAGCCAAGGTAGGGAAAAAGGGGATTTGAATTCAGCACTAAAGGCTTTGAGTTGAGCTTATTGTCGGAGGTGCCATTCTTCAATGAGATGCTAAAGTCCTCCTCAGCCTGTTAAGGTGGACGTTAACGATCCCGCGGCGCTATTTGAAAATGTGAGAAGTTTCTCTCCGTGTCGTGGCTGATAATCCCCGCAAATAAGATTGGTGATTCACTTCATGGCTGTTGGCAGGACATTTAACGACTGCGTTTATCTCCAAAAAAAAATCTCTTCCAAATGGACAGCACCTCCAACAATGTAGGGTTCCCCCAGCACTGCAGTGGAATGTCAGCCTGGACTATGTGAGCTCAAAGTCCTATCGCCGGGCTTGAACCCACAACCTTCTGACTCAGAAGTGAGGGCCCTGCAACTGAGCCAGGCTGACATGTGCAGGGAGTACTTGGGGGGAGGAGGGAAGGGGGAGAAACTACAAGCAGTTGTTTTTATCCCCAAACTAAATTGTGCTGGAGTGTGCGGATTATCTTACGACTGTTGTGGTGGGTGGGGTGGGGTGGGGGGGGTTTGGGGAGAGAGAGAGAAGTTCCTTGTTTCAAGTCAGCCGGTGAAACCCATTGCAAACGCACAAACAAACAAACAAACAAACAAATAAATAAATAAATAAACCCCTAACAAAAGCCTGGCGTGGTATTCTCGGAGGTCTCAGACGTACGAACACATAGAATGATATGTTGCTGATTTGAACCAGGGTACTTGTGCCGGCATTTCCTTGTTTGAACTGAAGCACGTTGAGGAGAGAGCGATATGCGTGTCCTAAAAAACAGTACGCCAACACCTTCCTGTCTGTCCTGCCTCCCCCCCCCCACCCGACCCCACTTCGTGGTTCCCCCCTTCCACTCCCTCCCCTTCTTCCCTCCTCCCCCCCACCCCCCCCTCCACACACACCCCACCCTTCCCCCATGTTGGCTGGTCTCTGGCGGGCAGGTTGGTGCTGGTTAGAAAGCGGAGCCTGTGATGGCATTTAGTTGCTTCATGAGACCCTCCAGACTGGCCATTTGCTCACTTAGGTCATCCTGTTCGTACACCTACAGGAGGGAAACGGGACAGGGTTAGGGCCGAGCCGAGGTTTCAACAACTGGGAGCAGCTGTGGGGGGAAAAGGGAAGGGAGAGGAGGACAACTGACACCCACGGAAACCTGTCACCGTGCTTAAGAGCCTCCAAACCACACCCTCCCCACCTGATCTCCCAGAGTTTGAGTGTAGGTTGGCAGGGGACAAAACTTGGGGGAATTTAACTAAGCAAACCAAGCATTTAAGTTGCCTTGGCAAGCTTTCTGTTATTTGTTCAGATAGGAGTAAGAGCGGGGGAGTGGGATTAGTTGGTAGTTCTTTCAAAGAGCTGACACATGCACGATGGGCGGTGAGATTGTATGACTCTAAGGTAAGCAGGAAATCCTTGGACCTGAGCTGGTTCCCAGTGTGACGTGTCTTGCTTTGCCTTGCTGGGTTTCTTTGTCACAGATATGGAACTGCTTGTATTGACCTTACATTAGAATGCTCCTCTGTCCTGTGGCTCTCCTCTGTCACCTCTGGGGCTGTGGGTACGGACACAGGAAGCAGCGGTGATCTGGCTTTGCCGGCCAATCCCAGCGAGGCTGTCTTGCCGTGACTCAGGGTAAGGTTAGAACCTGTAAATGCAGAAGGAGACCATGAGTCAGTGACAGGTCTCCAGAGCAGTAACCGTGTGGACCAGACTCTCAATACAGCCACTCTCAGTCCCGCTCACAACAGGAAACACTTTACACGGTTAAAAGGGCATAAGGGCAGGACAAGAGCAGGAGGAGGCCATTCGACCTGTTGAGCCGGCTCTGTCATAAAGTCTACGGCAACTCTTCAATCTCAACTCCATATCGTTTAATGTGTGTGTCTCGATCTATCTTATCTCTTTGTCTCTCTGTGTCTCTGCGACTCGTATCTCTGGCTCTGTCTCTCTCTCTCTCTCTTTCTCTCTCTCAGTTTTACCCAGAAAACACGCTTCACAGTTTAAATTGGGTTTAAGATTTGGATAAATTGGTCAGACAGGCTAATGCTGGGCAGAAGCTCAGACCTGAACTCAGGTTAAAGGGAATGTTACACAGCAGGAAATTGTAGGGGCTAGACAGAACCTATAATAATAATAATTCTTGCATTTGATATAGCGCCTTATCATGTCTTCAAAACGTCTTAAAGTGCTTCACAGAATATACTGTAAAGTAAATTGATTGTACATTTTGTGGGTGAAATGCGGCAGCCAATTGGGCGGAGCAGTGTCCTACAAACAGGCGTGGATTGAGTGATCAAATTATTATTTTAAAAGGGATTTTACGTCCGGAAAGGCAATCCGCAAATCGACCAACAACCGGATTTCTACTTACTGTAGGTAAACAAGGCGTGTGGAGCAAGAAAACTTGCCCAAGGTTTTCACCCTGCCGGGAATTGAACCCTCTCGCTTGCAAAGCGAGCGCTCTAACCACTGAGCTACAGGCGTATCCGTTCACTCAACATTAATCTTGAACTTGTCTCTTGAATTAGTTGGAATTGATATGTTTCCAACAGATAAAATTGTCTAAGATATTAACCTGATCGAAATTGACAATGGAATTATCGTCGTTAGTTTCATTAGTTCTATTATATTTGGCCAAATGAATGGTAAATACTGTTTTTTATTCAATTCTGATATCATCTGGCTCCTCACCCAACTCCCCAGTTCCATTATAAATAGGGTCCAAATCATATAAAACTCTGCCGCCTGTGTCCTCACCTTTCCTCCGCACCCCCATCACCCCAGTTCTTGCCACACTCCACTGGCACCCTGTTGCAGAATAGGTCAATTTCAAAATCCTTGCTCTTACTTTTGAGTCACTCTATGCCTTCATCTCTCCGATCTGCTCACATCCCACTCCACTACCTGCTGCCTTCGCTCAGCTGGCTCAGGTTTTCTACAACAACAACTTGAATTTATATAGCACCCCTCACGCAGGGCAGGGTCCCAGTTCGCTTCTACACGTCGCTTGTCCCCTCCGCTCCATCACTGGTGGCCATGCTTTCAGCGATTATACCCTGAAACTCTGAAACTCTCAGCCTCAATCCCTCCGTCTTGCCCCCTCTTTGCTCATCTTCAAATCGCACTTGAAGAATTTCCTCTTCGGTCGTGCCTTTGGTCAACTCCCCTCCCTCTCCAGCTCATCATCAAACTACGCCGTTACTAAGTGGTGAAGGACGCTATATCAATGGAAGTTGTGATTGACACATCGGGAGGAGATAATGTTGATGAACTAACTCCACTCTGACTATCCTCCATCGCGGAATCCCTCTACTCGCTCCCTCCCGCAAGAACGTCTCATAATGTACCTCGTTGGCCATGCATTCCCACACCCACCCCTCCAACAACCCCTCTTGGCTCCACCCTAACCTCAAGTGCCCCATCCAAAGCATTTTGTGATGTCCTCCAGATGTGACAGGTACTGTATAAATCTCAGTGGTACTATATTGAAATGAAGCAAGGGGAAACATGTAGAAATGCCTCATATTAAATGACAGCAACACTGTAATATAAAAATCCTTGCATTTCATATGGTGCTTTATCACATTGTTGAGACATCTTCAAAGTGCTTCACAGAATATACTGTCAAGTGAATTGAGTGTATTTTGTGGATGAAACATAGCAGACAATTCCACACAGCAGTGTCCTACACACAGTCGTGACTAGATTGAGTGACTACATTTTTTTTTGAAGGGATTATTACTCCCGTAAAGCGATCCGCCAATCGACTAGCAACCGGGTTCCTATTTACTGCTGGGTAAACAGAGGCGTGTGGAGTAAGGAAGCTTGCCTAAGGTTCCACCCTGCCTGGGAATCGAACTCAGGTCCTCTCGCTTGTGAGGCGAGTGCTCTAACCACTATGATACGGGACTCCATTTGCAGCCTCTGTACACAGCAGCCTCAGTGAACTCGGCTGCTTATCCCACAAAGTGGTTACAGTAAAAAATCCTAATTCCTTAAACAAGACTTGGACTGTAGTATAGCCTCTTAGATTGGCAGTAATGGCCTCTTACTGAAATGCACTCCCATTGCTCGGCCCGTATTAATGCATTAGCTGCAGATTGTCGCTGGCTCCCACTGCTGCTCGCGCTGAGTTGATGACATTAAATGCCACCATCTGCTGTACCTTTACCAGCCAGGCACCACAGTGGGACCCCGAGCTCGAGTCCAAATCCCTGATTGTCCAGGGCATTGAGACATCCTCTCGACGTGAAAGGCGCTATACAAATATAAATGTAATTTATTGTTGTTGAGACCTTAATAAGTTTCAGTTGTGGAACTTCTGCGATTTGGTCTTGGTTTGGAGGCCCTTTCAATAATCATCTAATTCTTTGCATTTGTTACAGCGCCTTTCACGTTAAGAGGACGTCTCACAGGATTTTACCATAAAGTGAAGTCATTATGTATTTTGTTTGCTGCAGTTCTTCAAAGAAAACAGCATCCAAGTTACAATTGGATTGAAGAATTTTCCACAATTTCACTCAAAGGAACATAGGAACAGGAGAAGGTCATACAGCCCCTCGAGCCCGTTCCGCCATTCTATTAGATCTGTACCTCAACTCCAAATACCCACCTTGACTTCACAGGGAATTAGCACTTCCGACAATCAAGTTGTGAGGTAGTTATGCATTAATCAAAATAGGGTGAATATTTAGTCATGGAGAGGGGTCATAGGTGTTTAGAGCCTGATAGTCTGTTGAATTTGTTAGATTGAGATATCAATCTGTTTATCGCTCTTAAGGTGTAAAAATGTTGGTTAAGTGCTTTTGGGTTATGTTTTTTTTGTTAGATTTTGTGAGTAAATGGATTTTATGGTCCTGTTGGAGTCTTTTAGTCCTCTCCCGCCCCAGACTCCGTGACCCCATCACCCCCACCCTCGCCCAGCTCCGCTGGCTCCCCATCCCCCAGAGGAGAGAATTCAAAATCTTCGTCCTCACTTTCAAGGCCCTCCACGGCCTTGCCCCCTCCTACATCTCTGACCTGCTGACCCCCTATCAACCTGTCCACTCCCTCCGCTCAGTAGGCTTTGGCCTGCTCCTTGTCTCCCGTCCGACCTGCCCTACCATCGACGGCCAGGCTTTCGGCCTCTCTAACCACACCCTTTGGAATTCCATTCCACAATCTCTTCGCCTTGATCCCTCTCTTGCCTCCCTCAAGGCAAGGCTCAAGACCCTACTTTTTGACCGTGCCTTCAGCTGCCCTTCTAACTCGTCTGCCCTCCTTCATCCCAACCCTGCCCCACACACTCAGGTCCTGATCCTTGATTGTTCAGCGCTTTGGGACGTCCTCCGGACGTGAAAGGCGCTTTACAAATGTAATTTTGTTGTTGTTGTTATTGTTGTTAGTCTGAACGACAGTTGAGTAAGCGAGTTTATGTTTTCAAACCGTCAAATTGCAAAAGATTTATTGGAGGAGATCGTGCTTAGTCAATTAGGAGTTAAGTTTGTCAAAATACAGAGATCTGATCGGGTAAAAAAAAGTCACATGGGCATATTTGAGACATGAAAGAGATGGAGTGGACAGTTGTTGGGTTTGGAGTTTTAAATAACATTTGACTTTAATATCACTAATTATAAAAATTCTGAATTTCGGAAACTTAGAAGAGATTTGAATTTATAATATATATATTATAAATAATCCTTGCACTTGATATTTAGGGTAAGGTTACTCCTTGGTGGTCCAAGTGCTGAGGCTCAGTAGTTAGATATCTTCTAAAGGATAAGTTATTTTGGCTTCATAGAATCATAGAATTGTACAGCACAAAAAGAGGCCATTCGGCCCATCGAGTCTTTGAATAGAGCAATGCAATGTCAATCCCACTCCCCGGCCCTTTCCCCATAACCTGCAAAGCTGTGCTCCTTAAATACCCGTCCACCACGTTTTTAAAAGTAGTTATCGAATCGGCCTCGACCGCCATTTCATGTGTTCCAGATTCCAACAACTCGCTGAGTGAAAAAATTTCTTCTCACGTCCCCTCGGCTTCTTTTAGAGACTATTTTGAATCTGTGACCTCGAGTTACCGACACACCCACCAGTGGAACCAGTTTTTCCCTTTCTAACCTATCAAATCCCCTCATGATTTTGAAAACCTCTATTAGGTCTCCTCGTAACCTTCTCTACTCCAATGAGAATAATCCCGGCCTCTCTCGCCTTTCCTCCTCATCATCACGATCCCTCATTCCTGGTACCATCCTCGTAAATCTCCTCTATACCCTTTCCAATGCCTTAACATCCTTCCTATAGTGCGGTGCCCAGAACTGGGCGCAGTATTCTAACTGAGGCCTAACCAGTGTTTATATGGGTTAATCAGAACCTCCTGACTCTTGTACTCTATGCCCCTTTTTATAAAGCCCAGTATCCCATATGCCCTTTTTACAGCTTTATCTACCTGTCCCTCCACTTTCAAGGATTCATTTACCTGCCCCCCCAGGTCTCTCTGTTCTTTCACCCCCTTTAAGATTGTATTACCAGCCTATATTACCTCCCCTCAATCTTTCTTCCAAAATGCATTACCTCGCATTTCTCCACATTGAATTTCATCTGCCACGTGTCTGCCCATTTTACCATTCTGTCTATGTCTTCCTGCAGTTGGCTGCTATCCGTCTCACTGTTTACTATCCTACCTAACTTTGGGTTGTCCGCAAACTTGGAAATGGTACTTGCTATTCCCAAGTCCAGATCATTTATATATAAATTGTGGAGTCCTGTAGCTCAGTGGTTAGAGCACTTGCCTTGCAAGTGAGACACCTGGGTTCAATTCCAGACAGTGCGAAACCTTGGGCAAGTTTCCTTACTCCACACACCTAATAATAATCCCTCCAAAACAAAAAAACAATAATAAATTGGTCATGTCCAATCCACGACTGATATGCACAATTGGCTGCCGCATTTTGCCCACAAGTATACGGTCAATTCACTTTACAGTCTATTCTGTGAAGTGCTTTGAGACGTCGAGAAGTCATGAAAAGCGCTATATTAAATGCAAGGATTATTATTATTATATTATTATTAAGAAGAGCAGTGGTCCCAATACCGATCCCTGGGGGACACCACTGCACACTTCCCTCCAGTCAGAAAAGCAGCCGTTCACCACAACTCTCTGCTTTCTGTCTCCCAGACAGTTCTGGATCCATACTGCCACTGTCCCTTTTATACCAGGGGCTTCTATTTTTCTTACAAGTCTTTTATGGGGCACTTTGGTAAATGCCTTTTGAAAGTCCATATAAACTACATCTACTGCACTACCTTCAACCACCCTCTCCGTTACCTCATCGAAAAATTCTATTAGATTTGTTAGACAAGATTTGCCTTTAACAAATCGGTGCTGGCTGTCCCTAATTAACCCATTTTCTTCTGAGTGAAGATTTATTCTGTCCCAGATTATAGCCTCCAGGAGTCTCCCCACTACTGATGTTAGGCTGACTGGTCTGGAGTTCCCAGGTCTGTCATTCTGCTCCTTTTTGTACAAGTACATTGGCCACTTTCCAGTCCTCTGGCAGAACTCCTGTGTCCAACGAAGATTGAAAAATTGTAGCCAAAGCCTCCGCTATTTGTACCCGTCCCTCCCATAGTAACCTTGCCTGCACCGACCGGACCGGGCGACTTATCTACCTTGAGCCCAGTCAACTTTTTCAGTACTTCCTTTCTGTTTATACTTATCCTATCCATTTCCTCTGACCCTCTCCTCCGATACTGCGGCATTTGGTGACTTCTTTTGTGAAGACAGATGCAAAGTACTCATTTAGTACATCAGCCATGCCCCCTGCCTCCACAATAAGATTTCCGCCTTGGTCTTTAATTGGCCCCACCCTACCTTTGACTAACCTTTTTTTCTTGATATGTTTGTAAAAAATTTTTAGGATTCCCTTCAATGTTACCCCCTAACCTTTTTTCGTAAAATCTTTTTGCCCCTCTTATTTCCTAGTAATTAGAGAAGAGAAGGTTTGGTCCTTTCAGAGTGCACGTGGAAAGAGCGTTTTATTCTCAAAGATAAGAGAACCATGACACAGTGTTCCTCCAGCACCTCACTGGAGTGTCAGCCTAAACTGTGAGCTCAAAGTCTTGATGTGGGAGCTCGAAATCACAACCTTATAAATCAGAGACGCGATGCGATTGAGTGAGCCAGGCTGACAATCATATCTCTCCTTAATCTCCTCCAGAGTAGATAACCCATGTCTACCAACCTGCCATCAGAACTAAGCCGCTTCATCCCAAATACTAATTCAGCGACTCGTGGCTGGGTATCCTCCAAGATTAGTTTGTCCTTTCTGTGTTTGGGCTCCCAAACTGAACACAATGATCCAGCTGAGATTCCTACTGATGCCAATTTGGCTCCACATTCCACAACCATCACTCTGGTTATGCTCAGTTTTTTAATCAGAGACTTAATAACTACTTAGAATGCTGACAGAATGCTGGTCTCAGTTGCCAAAGTTCTGATCCCCAGACTTCAGGCCACAGCTCGACTGATCCTCAGTGTTAGAAGCATATGGTTTGAGTAACGACTGCATAAACTGTGGGCTCTTCAGCATTGAAAAATGCCATAGGAACATAATAACAATGATAATAATCCTTGCATTTGATATAGCGCCTTCTCTCGTCTTCGAGACGACTCAAAGCGCTTCATAGAATACTCTGTAAAGTGAATTAACTGTATACTTTGTGGGCGAAAGGCGATGGCCAATTGCGCAGAACAGTGTCCTACAAACGTCGTGGATTGAGCGACCAAATTATTATTATTATTATTATTTTTTTGAAGGGATTATTACCCGTAGAAAAGCAATCTGCCAATTGACTAACAACCAGGTTCCTACTTACTGCTAGGCAAACAGAGACGTGTGGAGTAGGGAATCTTCCCCAAAATTTTGCCATGCCTGGGAATAGCCCCACAAGCATTTTGCCTCCAAATGTGAATGGACACAAAGGGCGATCAGATGTAATTGTGGTGGGAATACCAGTGACTGAAGGGGAAGGGGGTAGGAGCTAACAAAAAAGAAGGTGAGCTGGGAGGAGGTGGGGGGAAGAAGCAGGAAAGGCCTTTTTTCTTTTGCAAAGTATTATTGCACGGCTATCAGCTACAAATTTCCGGCAAATGGAAAGTGAGACACGTCCAACTGACTCTTAGTCATAGCACGAAATAATGGGCACATCGTCCAAGCTCAACAACAACAAATTACATTTGTAAAGCACCTTTCACGTCGGGAGGATGTCCCAAGCAGCTGGACAGTCAGGGCTGGGGGTTGGGATCAGGAAAGCTGGAGGGCAGGGATGATAGGGTGCAGGGTGTCCAAAAGTTCCAAAGGGTGGGGACAAAGAGGCTGAAAGCCCAACCGCCGATGGTAGGGCAGGCTGGACAGTCGACAAGGAGCAGGCCGGAGCATGCTGAGTGAAAAGGTCGACATGGAGTAAGCAGGTCACAGAGGTACGGAGGAGCAAGGCCATGGAGGGCTCCGAAGGCGAGGACGAGGTTTTGAACTCTATCCCCTGGGGGCTATAACTCACCTCAAGTACTGCTCAAAACATGACTCAAACTGAGTGGAGACACCAATACACATACCCACACATACTCATATATGCATACGCACACTTGCCCACACACACACTGACTGTGCATACACTCAGATACACTCACTGACACACCCAGGCTGCTGCTGCTCACCTGGTTGTTGAGAGAGGAGAGGTGTGTAGGGGACTTTGGGCTCCAGGGCACTCATGGGGGGAGGTAGCAGGGGGTTTGCGAAGCTGCGGAGTGGATGAGTGGGTCGGACACAGGCTGTAGGGATGGTTCTGCTCGGGGCCTCCTCCCCCGACGGGTGTTCAACCTGGGTCTGGGTTAACATAGACGGCTGCTGAGTGTGCGAGACTGGGACCTCACTCATGGCTGTGCGAAAGAAAGCAGAGGGTGAGACAGCGGTGGGTCAACAGACAGAGACAAAGCCCAGGAACACACTCACATCCATCAGGCCTGGGTCACAAAACCAATAGTAACCAAATAACCCTTGATTTGATACAGCGCCAATTACAGCCGAAACATCTCAAAGTGCTTCACAGGGAATTGGTGTCAAGTAGTGACTGTGTATTTGACTGTGTGGTAAACATGCGGTGAATGTGTGGTGAACATGCGGTGAACATGTGGTCAGCGTATTTTAAGCATGTTGTATGGAGCCAGCGTACATGTGTCACATTCACCTGAACAGAACTCAAGGCTGATTTACTGACACGATCCACACATCGTGTGCAAACGACAACTCATTCCGATTCAATGTCACGAGACACAATGAGGAGGGAGGGAGGGAGGGGAGGGGGGGAAAGGCGAGGTTCTCACCTGATACGAACCCCCGATCGACGGTGAGTGTGGGGAAGGGCATGGTGCGCAGTGTGAACTGCGGGTGTGGGTATCCGCAGGTCGGGGAGGGCAGGATGCCAGGATACTGGGCACTTTCCAATGTCGGGACAGGAATAGCACTGACCACAGCTGGAGGAGAGAGAGGGGAACAAACCATGGGGAGGGAAGCGGGGAAGAGGGAGGAGGGGAGGGAGTAAGGAGGGAGGGATGGATGGGGAGAGAAAGAGGAGAAGAATGGAGAGGGGGAGAGAGGTTTTACACACACAGTACTTTTGTTTTCTCTTTGTGAACAAATTGAACGATTTACATGTAAGGTACGATCAATCTCTTGGCGTTGATTGGTGCTGGTTTCAGAAAACCAGCTCTGGGAACCCACGGCATTGTTTTATATTTGGAGGAGCAAATTATCTTACGTTTATATGTGGGTCATTTACGTCCTGAAAGCCACACACCACCCCTGATCTGATAAACCCTCGGAGCTCCTCAGCGCTCCACCAAAACACATCATAATGAGATGTTAATTAACAAGAATAATCCTTAGATTTGATACAGCGCCTTTCGCATCGGAAAGACGTCTAAAAACGCTTCACAGGATGCACTCTAAAGTGTAATGACTGTCCGTTTGTGGGTGAACGTGTCAGCTAATTTTGAACACATGTCCCATGGACACAAACAGCCATGGAGTGAGTGACCAATTTTATTCGGGGGGGGATTGTCGGCCAGGACACTGGGAGAGAAAAACTCCCTTCTCTTTTCGAATAGTGACACAGAATCTTTTAACGTCCATCTGAACAGACAGACGGGACCTCAGTTTAACGTCTCATCCGAAGGACGGCACTCCTGACGAATGCAGTGCTAGACCCCACCACCCAGTACCGCACTGGAGTGCCAGTTTGACCGATCAAAAAGGGAGCATTGTCAGCCGGGGCACCAGGAGAAACTAGCTTAATACTTTTACAATAATGTCACAGGATCTTTCAACGTGACCAGGCAGCAACTTGGCTCATCTGCATGACAGAACCTCAGGCGATGTGGCATTCCTCCCAACACCGCATTGACTTGCCAGCCTAGATGTGGGGTTTGAACCCATAAAAGAGAGCGCTTAACCAACTGAGTCAAGCTGATACAGTCACATCAAAGTAACCTGACAAGACACTGCGAGGTAGAAATCATCGCAGACCTGGATTTACTTTATTAAATTATTATTGATAACTCTTAATTTATTTCCGTGCTACTTGTAAATTTTTATCCTGGTGTGCTGGCTGACAATAGGTAAGATGGATGTTGATAGGGTGTTTCCACTTGTTGGTGAGTCCAAAAATGAAGGGGTATAAATAATATAAGATGGAGCAGTAACAGATCTAACATTTAGGAGGAACTTCTTCACACAGAGGCTCGTGAGAACGTGGAATTCACTGCTGTGATTAAAGCAAAAAAAAATCAACAACAAATTGCACTTACACAATGTCCTTCACATAGGATAATGTCTCTGAATGCTTTAAAGGGACGGTATCAACCTCGAAGCCAACGGGAGAAGTGACCATAGGTGCAGTCGAAGAGGCAGGTTTAGAGACAGGATAATAATAATAGTAGTAATAATAATCCTTACATTTGATATAGCGCCTGATCATGTCGTTTAGACTTCTCAAAGTGCTTCACAGAATATGTTGTAAAGTGGATTTACTGTGTAATTTGTGGGTGAAACACGCAGCCAATTGTGCACAGCAGTGTCCCACAAACACTCGTGACCACAGTGACCACATTTTTTTGGGAGGGATTATTACCCCCGGAATCGATACGCCAATCGATCAATAACCAGGTTCCTACGAAGTAAACAGAGGCGTGTGGAGTAAGAAAATTCGCCTACTCGGTTTCACCCCGACCATGAATTGTACCTGGGTTCTCTCGCTTGCGAGGCGAATGCCTCTACTATGATATGGGACTCCATAAGTCTAAGAGCCAGGTTGTGAGTGGAGCCTGGCAAGAACTGGGCGCTGAGTTTGGCGCACGCAAGGATATGAGCTCTCGAGATTTAAAGTTCTCTCACTGTCAGCAGATCAATGGAATCTCATTACAAATTACTGATGACTGCATCTGGCTCTTCGTGGAAACGGGATAAAGAGCTGATCTCTGAGATATCAGAGTACACGTCAGCAATGGTAGTGTCCTGCTATAATAATAATAATAATCCTTGCATTTGGTACGGCACCTTATCTTGTCATACACAAAGCACTTCACAGAGTACATCGTAAAGTGGATTGTCTGTGTATTTTTGTGGGTGAAATGGGGCAGCCAATTGCGCACAGCAGTGTCCCACAAACAACCGTGGATTCAGTGACTAAATTATTTTTTTTTTTGAAGGGATTACCCCCGTAAAGCGATCCACCTGACAACAAAATCAGCCATTCACTTCACGGCTGTTTTTCGGACATTGCCCTGTGTAAATTGGCTGTTAGGTTTGTCTACAAAACACAAAGTCACTGCACTTCACAGTGAATCCTGCAAAGCATCTTAAGACATCCTCCCGACCTGTCAAGGTAAAATATATCAAATGTAAGGAGAATTGTCGCGTTAAAAGAGAAGGGGTCTGAGTGTCAGAAGCAGTGACGTTACTCACTTGGGTTGCTGGGTTGAGAGTCCATAGGAATCATCAGTTTAGGACGTGTGCCTCTACGAGCAGTGACTGAACGTTCAAGAGTTGACATGCTGCTCCCCACTTCATCAGGATCGGGCCCTGTGGGGGGAGGAAGAGCAGAAGGAAACATTTAGATCTTTTTTCCTATTTTCACCCACAAACTATACAGTCAATTCGCTTGACAGTATATTCTGTGAAGCGCTTTCAGACGCCTCGAAGACGTGATAAGGATAAGGCGCTAAATCAAATGCAAGGATTATTATTATGTCCAAGTTGCTGTTGTTGATACCTAGTTGGCTAATTGGCTAAAGACATTAAGTCTTTTCTACCGAAAGGTCATCGGCCTGAAACGTTAACTCACTTTCCTTTCTCCATAGATGCTGCCTGACCTGCTGAGTGTTCCCAGCGACTTGTGTTTTCAAGTTTATTATGCGTTGATTTTTAATGGCATTTCCTAACAAGGAAAATTCAGTAAACAGCAACAACAACTTGCATTTATGGAGCACCCCTCACACGGGGTAGTGTCCCGGAGCCCTTAAGAGCTCTGCGGATGGGTAATAAGCGTTTACACTTGCCTTATAGACCCCCTCACTCCCCCGCTTCCCTCAACTCAGACTTCTTATTAAAAAAATCCAGTTAGAAATTGTTGATTTGATTAATTTCTCCGCTAACGGTAAGCGCTCTGAGACGCTACCCTAAGTGGAGGGCGCTATATAAGTGCAAGTTGTTGTGGTTGTAGAAATGATCGCATGCTGGAGAGCTTAGAACGCTTCCTGTTAGAGAAAGTTGAGGTGATACTGTCCAGCCGTTTAAGGTAATGATTTGCGGGAATTAATTGGGAAAGGGTTTTTCCCAAAGAGTAATGGTGGTGTGGAATGATTCACCGAGGGATAGACGAATGGGGCATTTAACATGCAGAGAATTGGGCTTAGGATGACAGTCTTGGAGGAGCAATGATCGACACCAGATTATAGGTCAAAATGGCCTCCTACTGTGTCTGTTTTTCTCTAGTTTCTCTGGTATCTGCTGAATGAGATTGTGGTTAGCTAGCAGGGATATTACGCTCCAACACCATCAGTAAGTAGCTGCCCGCAGGCTTAAATCCTTTAATACTGGAGCTGCATGGCTTCACGTCATTGGAGAATGTAGATTGTAGAGGATTTGCAGGTCCCAAATCAAATTATATATGGTCCCATTTACCGACATTTCCTACACACAAGTAAAGTTGAAAATATTCGATAATTTGATATTATTATTTCAGTTCGTTTCATCAAATTTGACATGCCGTCTTATCACGCAAATAATACATCGGAAAGACGCCTCCATACACTTCGCATGATTTTCCTACAAAGTGTAGTGACTATGAGTTTTGTCAGTAAAGATTGGAAAAGACAAGGGAGTTTCTAATTCAAAGTTTGATAATGTTTAACTGGGGGGAACTAGTAGAAGTATTTAATATTATAAATGGGTTTGATAAGTTTAACACAAATGGGCTGTTTCCGCTGGTTGGGTAGTCCATAACCAGGGGACAAAAATATAAGATAGCGACTAGGATCTAAAAGATAATTTAGGAGGAACTACTTCACATAGAGGGTAGTGAGATTGTGGAACTCGCTGCTTGAAGTGGTGGTTAAATCATGTAGTGCAGAAGCATTCAAGAGGAATCTAGACCTTTATATGAGGGAGAGAGGAATAGAAGGACGTGGGAGGAAGTAAGAAATGAGTGAAGACTCCTGAGGAGTATAAACAACGGTATGAACTGGTTGGGCCAAGTTGCCTGTTTCCGTGCTGTAAAGGCTTTGTAAATGTTGGTAACTCCTGACTCCAGGCTGTTTGCATGAATATTTTCTCCCAATGCCCCGGGCAATAACACCAGATAAATCATTCATGGCGGTTTGTCATGGCTGTCAGTATATTGGCCGCAGAGTTTGCCCACAAATCTTCAGTTGGTACACTTAACAACAATTTCCTGTCAAAAGTTATTCATGGTTATACAGGTGATGTATCAAAAGAATCATAGAATCATAGAATTCCACAGCATAGAAGGAGGCCATTTGGCCCATCGTGTATGTGCCGGCTCTTTGAAAAGAGCTATCCAATTCAACCCCACTCCCCGCGCTCTCCCTGTAGCCCTGCAAACTTGTCCTCCCCAAATAATTATCTCTCTTAAAACCTGTTATCGAATCGGCTTTCACCACCCTTTCAGGCAATGCATTCCAAATCCCAACAACTCGCTGTGTGAAAACATTTCTCCTCACCTCCCCTCTGTTTCTTTTAACCGGTTCATCATAACCTTCCTGACTTTTGTATTCTATGCCCCTATTAATAAAGCCTAGTATCCCATATGCTTTTTGAACAGCTTTATCTACCTGTCCTACCACCTTCAAAGATTTACTTATACGAATCCCCAGGTCTCTCTGTTCCTTCACCCCTTTTGATTGTACCATCAGCTTATATTACCCCTTCTCATTCTTCCTCCCAATTGCATCACTTCACATTTCTCCACATTAAACTTCATCTGCCACGTGTCTGCCCATTTTACCAGTCTGTCTATGTCCCCTTGCAATTTGCTATTATCCTCCTCACTGTTTACTACTTTTCCAGCTTAGTATCATTGCAAATCTGGAAATTGTACTCCTTATACCCAAGTCCAGGTCATTTATATAGATCAAAAACAGTGTGATCCCAATACTCACCCCTGGGGGACTCCACTGAACACTTCCCTCCAGTCAGAAAAACAACCATTCACCACCACTCTCTGCTTTCTGTCTCCCAGCCAGTTCTGTGGCCATGCTGCCACTGTTGCTTCCTTCCTCGTTGGGCTGGACACATACTGATCCAGATAGTTATCCTGCACAGATTTCAGGAATCCTTCCCCCTCCTTGCCCTTTACACTGTTATTTTGCCAGTCTATGTGAGGATAATTGAAGTCCCCCATTATCACGACTCTGTTGGTTTTGTATCTTTCTGAAGTCTACTTGCAGATTTGTTTGTCTATCTCCTGCCCACTATTTGGTGGTCTATAGAACACACCTAACAGAGTAACAGCTCCTTTTCTGCTCCTTAACGCCAACCAAATAGATTCCGTTTTTGGACTCTCTGGCACATCGGCCCTTTCAATATTTTTAATCAATATTGCCAAACCCCCTCCTTTTTTTCCTTCCCTATCCCTCCTGACTACATTGTAGCCAGGCATATTCAGCTCCCATTCCTGGCCTAGTTTGAGCCATGTCTCCGTTATTGCCACAACATCATAACCCCATGTGGCAACTTGAGCCCGCAGCTCCCCAATCTTATTTGTCACACTCCGTGCATTTACACACAAGCACTCCCAAGACCGACTCTGCATTTCTCCCCCGTTAATCATCCTGGAGTTCCACATGGCACGCATTGTGTATGTAACCAGTCTCAGCTGCTCTGCCATATTCCCAGACATGTTTTAATATAAGCTATATTATTTTAATATAATATATAATATATATAATTTTATGTGATATATTATTTTAATATAACTTATACATTTTATAGTTATGCAGCTCTTTCCCCCTCTGCACCGAATTCCCACTCTCACCAAACTTCTTAACAGAATTCTCACTCTGTTCCACCTCACTCAGTTTCCTCCTCACGCCGCTGGGCTCTCTGCTCAAGAAATAATTATTTAGCAGTAATTTGAAGGTTTTTCATTCTAATCTTCAAATGCTTCCATGCCCTTACCACTGTGATTGCCTGCTGTCCTATTCCCCCTCTTGCCCCTTCCTTCCAGCCCCCCAACTCAGACCTGCTCCATATTCTTCCCTCCACCACCCCCCTCCACCCAGCCAACCTCCACCATTGCTGGGCAAGATTTCAGTCACTGTGCCCCTGTTCTCTGGAACTCTCTCCCCATCACCTCACTTCTCCATCTCCATCTCCTTCTCCATCCTAGATGTCAGACTGGCTTAATCAGTAGCACTCTCGCCTCTGAGTCAGAATGCTGTGAGTTCAAGTCCTAAGGTGGGAATATGATCTTTCATAGTATAGGCTGACACACTAATATAGTGCTGGGGGGAGCACTACATTGTTGGAGGTGGCATCGGATGTGATGTTAATTCCCCAATCCTCTGGAATTGTATCCTAGAGTCCCTTTGCCTTGACCCTTCCCTCCCCTCCTTCAAGGTTCATCTGAAGACCTTCCTCTTTCACCACACCTTCAGTCATGACCTACCCCGCTTTGCCCACCCCTGCCAAATCTAATCCCAGTTCAGGTACAAACCCTCGACTGTCCAGCGCCTCGGGATGTCCTCTCGACATGAAAGGCACTACATGAATGTAATAAAAATAGAAGTCGCTGGGAACAGACGCCATTCTGACAAAAGGTCATCGAGCTGAAACATTAACTCACTTTCCTTTCTCCATAGATGCTGCCTGACCTGCTGAGTGTTCCCAACGACTTCTGTTTTTATTTCAGATTTCCAGCATCTGCAGTATTTGCATTTTGTCATCGGGATGGTCCAACCTTTTTGGTTGCTGAGGGCTGAATGCCCTAGTTGAGAAACATTTGTGGGCCTCATAAGCAATATTTTTGTGTTTCCCTTCCAAAAACATAACATTTTACTGATTATGAATGGAGCGGTTGGACCAGATGAATTGGGGGGGAGAGAAATCAGCCTGTGGACTGCTTGTTGGACCACCTAAGTCAACTTAAATACAATTTGGTGGTGTTGTTTTCTGCGTGCGAGGTGCTGTGCTGTATGAGTTCAGGTTGCTGTTGGTATTGACTTGAGCTTACCTGAGTGAGAGCCACTCTTGCTGGTCAGCTGGTGTTCTGACTGGCTCTGGCTGACGGGGGTGATGTTCTGACAGCTTTGGTGTGCGGGTGAGCTTCTGACACTGGGCTCTGTGCCTGGGGGCTTCTCAATGTTTTTCATCTCCATCTCCTCGTGGTGGATCCACAGGTCTGGGGGCCTCAGGTCTTTTTGGCTCCCCTTCCTTTTACCTCCACTGTGTGCTGCACGTTTCCTGGAGACAGAAACACATTAGCAAACGTTGCATAATAATAATTTGGTCACTCAATCCACGACTGTTTGTGGGACACTGCTATGTGCAATTAACTGCCACTTTTTGTCCACAAAATATACAGTCAGTTTACTTGACAGTATATTTATTCTGTGAAGCGCTTTGAGACGTCTCGAAGATGTGATAAGGTGCTATATCAAATGCAAGGAATGTTATTATTAAAAGGTCACAGGAGTTTTGAAGAAGAGGACTCGTACAGGAAGGGCAGAGATGAGCAGGAATACTCCTCTGTGTTAATTAGCATATGGAACTCATTAAGGAATTTCGTATCAATTCCTTAACTAACGTCATTCTCTAACCTGTCCCTCACACCCTGCACCCAGTCTGCTATACCTCATACCCTCGCCCGACTTTCGCCGGAGGGGAGGAGGTGGGGAGGCAAAAGGACTGTGGGATGGAGTTCCAAAGAGTCTGGCTCGCTGTTTCTCTGTTGATCCAGACGAGGCACCTACTTTCTCTGCTGTGCTGAGGAACGGCGGGTACAGATGATAGCCACCACAATGACCACGACCACGGTCACGGCTCCGATGGACACCACGATGATCACCAGCAGGTTACTGTTCTTCTGAGGAGTCACGCTGCCGTGCGGTGGGTGCATCTGACCAATCGGGGGCTCTGGGGAGGAGACAAGCAAAAGCCAACAAGAGTTATTACGGTCTGGAATGCACTGCCTGAAAGGGTGGTGGATGCAGATTTTATAGTAGCTTTCAAAAGGGAATTGATAGCTACAATGCAATACAAAATTACATTTCTACCGCGCCTTTTACATCGGGAGGACTTTGCAAGGCATTGGAGGTGTTTATAAAGTCCCAAGGTGCTTAAAAAGGAAGGTTATGGGGTAAGAGCGGGGGAGTGGGACTAGTTGGAAGCTCTTTCAAAGAGCCAGCACAGGCACGAGGGGCCGAATGGCCTCCTTCCGTGCTGCAAGATTCTATAATTGAAATTAAAAAATACTGGGTATCGTTTGCAGTAGTTTTGAAAAACATTCCTTGTGTTATTTAGGAAATATTGATAACCACCCTCTGCTCTCACTCTGTTCTCCATGTGTATTTTTTTGTCTCTTACAAAATACCCAGGCCACCATTATTTTTTTTCCTCTGAGGCGAGCGATTTTTGATTTTGTGACCTTGTGTTTTTTTAATCATAATAATAACCCTGTGCGCAATTGGCTGCCGCATTTCGCTCACAAAGTCAGTCCACTTTAAAATATATTCCTTGAAGCGCTTTGAGACGTCCCATTGATTCGATAATCCAAGGATCGTCAATAATAATTATGGTATAATGGCATAACATTTGGTATAAGACTGAGCGCTCAACTTGCCCAAAGAGGGACGTAAGTCCTTGTGACACTGGAATGAGCGCAGTCAGTTGAGGAAGAGCTCAAATCCCCTCTCTTCCTGTCTGAGAGCAGCCCGGATACTAATCACAATGAACAAATCCCTTCAGAGAAGACCACTCTCCTTCCAGCTGAATTATTGGGAAGTGAAGCATGTTGAGCAGGAGCAGGCCGGGCAGGCTGTGGACATGGGAGCGGAGAGGAAGGCACCAATCCTGCCAACAGGACAGAGCAGTCCCACTTGACTTGGGGGTGGTGGGGGATTATCAAAGTGAGCATTAATTGGCAGCTTCATAGACTGCACACTGTGCCTTGAAGTGACTGCGGGGAGTAACTTCATGGCAAGACATCTGAGGACCTTTCAATGTTGTAACATTATTATTCTAGTAAAAAGGCACGTCTCCTTACTCCACACGCCGCTGTTTACCTAGCAGTAAGTACAACCCGGTTGTTAAGTCAATTGATAATAATAATAATATAGCGCCTTATCACGTCGTTGAGACATCTCAAAGCGCTTCACAAAATGTATACAAAATACATTATATTCCGTGAAGCGCTTTGAGATACCTCAATGATGTGAAAAGGTACTACATCAAATGCAAGGATTATTATTATTACAGAAAAAAAAGCTTAAAAAATTAAAGACTGCGTTTGTTGATTTGACAAATTGTGAATGCTGTGAAATGCTGTGTTATTAAGAGTAAATCTAGACTCCGAGCGGAAAGCCTAGCCATTGATGTGCTGAACACCACTAAATAAATCATTCCCTGTAAGAAAGGCACAATCCCTGAGGGGCTTTTATAGAGATGTGCAAGATGCTTAATGTAACAGCTAAACAATCCTTTCAGATATGCCGAGACACCAAGACAAGAGGGCACAGGGTCAGGTTGGGTGAGGGGCAATTTCAGGACACGAGGAAGTATTTCCTTACATAGATGGGGATTAACCAATAGGGGATATGGGAAGGGTGGCTGAGGGCAAGATTCATTTAATAATAATAATAATCCTTGCATTTGATATAGTGCCTTATCACGACTTCGAGACTTCTTAAAGCGCTTCAGAGAATATACTGTGAAGTGGATTGACGATGTGTTTTGCGGGTGAAACACGGCAGGCAGTTGCAGACAGCAGTGTCCCACAGACGGTTGTGGATCGAGTGACCAAATTATTTTTTGAAGGGATTACTACCCCCAGAAAAGCGACCCGCCAATCGACTAACAACTGGGCTCCTACTCACTGCTGGGTCAACAGAAGTGTGTGGAGTAAGGAAACTTGCCTAGTTTCACCACACCCGCGATTTGAAACCCAGGCCCTATCGTTTTGCGAGGCGAATGCTCTAACCACTACGCCACAGCGTAGCGGAACTCCACAGCTCGATGCGAGGACGGTGAGGGGAAGGGGATTCTGGAAGGATGAGATCAAAAGGGCCAAAGGGCCTTATTCATCCGAATCAATCTATGTGATGTTGATATCTGCCAGAGAAAATTTTCCGACTTGGATCTGTAAAAGCATCCGACCCACTTTGTTAAGCTTCAGGAGCGTTGAGCAGAATAGATCTCGTGGGCATTTCATAGGGGGCCACAGGTACTTGTGAATAATTCACAATTACCCGCTGGTTCCCCAGTGCCCACCAGGACCATTTGTTCCGCCTGCAGCCTTTGCAATTGATATTCACTGAAAGCAGCCTGTTCACAGGCAGCCAGAGTCAGGCAGGAAATTAACACATCCCAAACACAGACCCCAAGCCTCAACCTAATAACAATTACCTACTAACACACACAGTCACCACACTTTCCAGTATATCCTGTGACGCAAAATTTATATTATTTGATATCATTGTGCGATGATGAAGGCGCCATATCAAATTTGACGATAATAATAATCCTCGCATGTGATATAGCATACCATCACGCATTCGAGACGTCTCAAAGCACTTCACAGAATATAGTATAAAGTGAAATGACTATATTTTGTGGGAGAAACGCGGTAGCCAATTGCACACAGAAGTGTCGCACAAACAGTCGTGGGTCAAATTATTTTTGATTCTAATAATAATGAAAAGCTTTTGCAAAGGGAGTAAATGCTTCAGATGTGAAAAGAGCTTTACCAAATTTGATAAAGAAAATTCATATTATGTGGGGCTGGGGACTAATTGGCTAGCTCTTTCAATAGCTGGCACAAGCACGATGGGTCGAAATGCATCATTCTGTGCTGTAGGATGCTATGATTATTTGATATGCAATGAATACTGATTTTCACTGATTAAAATCGTGAAAGGTGCAAACAGAAGAATAGAACGTGAGAGAGAATGAGAGTGAGACAGACAGACAGACAAACAGACAGATAGAGAATAGACCAGAAGCTTCACTTGAATAATGTCAATTAGACCCACTCATGGTATCAATCCGGAGATACCTTGACATGTAACGGGTATAATGGGAGTGAAGTGGGGGATCAGCTTTAGCGGGCTGATGTGAGGGACTGCAGTGTGAAGCACTGCGATAATAGATGCATTCACACTGCTTATTGCCACTCATCAGCAGCAATGCTCTATCCCCTCATTATAAAAGCAGTTAACTTGGGTTCCTTTATATTCCCTTGATTTGTGCCAAATGACCTTGAATTGATGAGCAAATCTCTGGGCTATCAGCCCTCCCCCCCACCCCCCTCCCCATTCACACTGTCCACAATCCTCCCTGTTGAAGAGAGCGGCCATTTAGAGGCAGACAATTGCTATATCAAATGCAGGAATGATCAGCTACTGTAGCTCAGCCTGCCCTGTAACTCTTGTCTATCCCTCAGGTCAGGACCTCACCGTTCAGGCTGCTTCTGTCGATCAGGTTGGTGTCGGCCGGCCAGAAGCCTCCATCTCCGTGCACGCTCCGACCTGCTGGGCAAAGCAACAAGTCAGGGCTTAGGGTCTGAGTGGGCAAGAAGGGTAGGGGGCAGAGATGGGAGGTAGGGGTTAGGGGACGCAAGGCAAGGGAGGAGGAGCTGAGGTAGGGGAGGGGTGAGGTAGGAAGGGGGTGAATAGGGTATTAGGGGAAGAGGAGGAGAGGGTAAGGTAGGGGAAGGGGTGATAGGAGGTGAGGGAGTGAGGACCATCAGGGCAGAACATCATCAAGAGAGAAATCAACCATAGTAGAACTGAGCTGAGCATCACATTGAGAGTGAGAAATACCAAACTAATGGGAGGAGGTGGTGGGGGAGGAGAGGGGAGAGGAGAGACAGAGTGGAGAGAGGAGGAGGAGAGGAGGAAAAGAGAGAGGGAAGTGGGGGGGGGTGGGAGAGAGTGGGAGAGCTGGGATGGTTTGGGGAGTTTATTGTCATGGAGTGTGAGCCTTTTACGCACAAACACCACTGATTGAGAGGTTCTGCTGCCCGACACCGCCCCCCACCCCACCATCATCATCAAACTGCAGTGATCAGCAAACACAAACACGTTCCTTCAGACAGCGAGGTGACAGATGCCACGTACTTTCAAAATTCTAATAACAATCAAATGATAATAAAATAATAATTTATAACGTTAAATTTACGACTGTAAAACTTTCAGTTTGTGTCCTTTAAACTTCTACCATCCTCCTCTCCTCAAAAGTTTCGCAGCTCAGAAATTCCGCCCAGTTGTACTTATTAACGAGAGGGGCAATTTGGTGTTAAGATTTAAGAAGGCGCAGAATTGCGGAAAATTCAAACCCACCTTAAATCAGGAACTGGTTTCTTTGTAAGAACGGCAGAAAAATGACGGCTTCCAAATAAAAACTGGATTGAAGACCCAATCCACAACTGTGCTAATTGGCTGCCGCGTTTCGCCCACAAAATATACCGTCACTTCACTTCACGGTACATTCTGTGAAGTGCTTTGAAACGTCTCAAAGATTTGATAAGGTGCTATAAATGCAAGGATTAATATTATTATTATTGTTGTTGTCACAATTCCTTGCTACCTTAAATTTTATTGCAAGATAACATTTATAGGCTGAGACTAAATGATATTTGGGCATGAACCTTGACTCTTGGTTCCATTTATGTGGGGAGGAGGAATTTGTATACACTCTAACTCTCTAGCGAGGTCACTCTGGTGATCAGAGCTACCAAATTCCACCTCGCCTTATCCAGCAAGATTGCTTGGACTTAAGATTTAAGGTGACGCAAAAGTGTGGCATGTTCTTCAGCTCTGTGCCTGGTCTGCACATCACAAGCTGTCCTGTAAAGGTCCTCCACCAACCAGATACCCATTGAATAGCTGATGAGGAAACTCTGAGGCTTGGGACAACAGCTAATGTTTTAGCTGGTTAAACTCTGAGGTCCCCCAAACCTTGGCTCTTGTCAGCCTGCGCCTAATTCTCGCTGGAATTAAGTAAGCAGGGTGCGTCCCTCAGGGGAGAGAGTGCCATTCAATTCATGGGGATTCTTCCATGCAAAGGTGGAACTCTGAGTCGTTTGGTTTTGATGAATCTTAAGGACAGTGATGGGTTCCTGCGTGTGTCAGGCATCCACCCGGCTGACCAAAAATAACATCTCCACTTTACTTTGGATTTGGAAGCCTTTTTTCCCCGCAATTCTTACAAAGAAGCTTGCATCTAAATTAAGCCCAGATTGGCAAATGTTCTGCACCGTCTGAACATTTTAAGGTCAATTGATGACAGCACAGCCCAGCCTGACTTATCGGCAGGACTTGGAAGGGCAGACCAGTCCCTGTGGGCAGAGAATCCTCCAACTCAGCTCCTGTTAACCCAGCAAACCAAAGCCCTAATGGGTAAGAGGGTCCTAGCATCTTAACAAGCAGAAGGAAAGCTTGCCAGTCAGCGATATCCATGGCAAGCAATGCAGGTTTAGACTCCAACAACAACAACAACAAGATTTCATTTATAGAGCGCCTTTCACGTAGGGAGGAGGTCCCAAGGCACTGGACAGTTGGGTCGGGACCCGACCAGGGGGGAAATGGTCAGGGTGAGGGGAGGAAAGGGAGGGAGCGAGGAGGGGGGAAATGGTCAGGGTGAGGGGAGGGAAGGGAGGGAGCGAGGAGGGGGTAGGGAGTCGAGTGGGGAGCTGAAGGCACGGTCAAAGAGAAAGGTCTTGAGACCGGCCTTGAAGGAGAAAAGGGAGGAGGCGGCGAAGGCACTGGGGGATGGAGTTCCAGAGCCTAGGGCCTGAGAGGCTGAAGGCCCGGCCACCGATGGTAGGGCGGTTGGGGCGGGGGATGTGGAGCAGACCGGAGCCAGAGGAACAGAGGGTATGGGCAGGTAAGTAGGGGGATAGTAGATCGGAGAGGTAGGAGGGAGCGAGGCCGTGAATGGCCTTGTAGGTGAGGATGAGGATCTTGAATTCGACAGTTACCCCAACACACACCCTGGGGTCCCCAAGCTTTGGCTCTCGCCAACCTGCATTTAAAACTCTCTGGAATTAGGTAAGCAGTCTGTGTCCCTCCAGGGAGAGAGAGAGAGAGAGAGAGAGCATTCCATTCCAACAATCTATCTCTGGGATTTCCATGTGTAGGTGGGATGTATTAAATTCTCAATTTGGTGTGGATACTCTTAAGCAACGGTGATGGGTTTCCACGTGTGCCTAACACTCAGTTGACTCCCCCCCTCACCCCCAACCGTCAAGACAAGTTGGCACGTCAGGCCTCAGAAGCAGGTTTTCCTTCTCCTTAATCCTGGAGTACAATTGCACTCCCAAGTGTCATCGCCACACTCAGTGAGGGCTGGGATTCGAACCTGTGACCTTCCCCGCTATGTGATCCAGTGCTGCCTTTACCCGTCATGTGTGTGGGATTGGGATGGAGGGGGAAAAGCTCTGGCTTCAAGTGTTGAGTGCACCTTGAACACGCTCTTCAAGTAACATGCACTCTGCAGCGATTTGTGGCTCATACTACAGGAGAAAGGGGAGAGGAGATGGGGAGAGGGGCAGCAAGCAAGTGCAGAGGAGTAAGGATGGATGGGAGTGGGGAGGGGGAGAGGGAGAGAAGAGTGAGGGGAGAGAGAGGGAAATGGGAGAGATGCAAAGCAGAGGGCAAATGGGTAAGGGGAGAAGTTTGAAAGGGATGAGGGGAGAAGAGATAGGGGAGAGAGGAGTGAGGAGGTTGGGTAAGAGGAGAGGGGCAGGCTTGAGGGAAGAAGAGGGAAAGGGATGAGGGAGAGAGAAAAGGAGTGAGGGAAATTGTGCAAGAAGTGAGGGGGAAAATGAAAAGAAAAATGGGGTTCAACATAGAATTATAGAACAGAAAAAATATTTTAGGAAAAATAAAGAAACATCTGATTCGGAAACTATGTACAAAGAGCTGACTGGATGCAACAAGGTACAGAAATGGTCGACAAAGGTTCTGAGTTTAGTGTCTCAAACTCCGTTCAGTGTTTCCCATTGCAATTCTGCTATTTAACGGCATTATATTATCTTTTCTTTTTTCTTTTGAAAATAAATTCAGGTGTGTAAATTCAGCATTCATGAGCCAGGGAGCGAACATCACTGAATCTCCACACCTCCCTCTGTGCCAGGCTTTATTCTGTGCTTGCCAATTGGAACACTTATTCAGACACAATTTCTCAAAGCCTCTCTGTCTCTCTTTCTCTCCTCCCTTCCCTCTCGCTCCCATTTGAGCTCCGCGCACACTCACTTACACACTCGCTCAAAAACGCATACGCGCACGCACTGAAACATGTCAACACGCAGCAGAAAGGCATACAGACACAGAAATATGCACAAACTAGGAATCACACATGCACCACGGACACAAACCCAGAAAATCACGCTCGCTCAGACAAACATGTACACACAGAAACGTGTGCACACAGAAACACCCATCCACACATACATAAACATATACACACACACACTCAAAAACACAGACAAACAGAAATAAGCACATAGAAACATGCATGCACGGAAACATGCGCACATATTAACACATGCAAACATATTAATACACAGACACATATTAACACGTGCAGATAGAAACTCACAAATGCAGACGTACACACAATGTAAGACTAAGAAGCACGACAGCTGTGAAAATCAGACATACCAGAGTGAGAGGGCTAGTGTCACTCAGGAGACCTGACTCTGATCATTAACCACAAGACTTTCCTCGGCTGGAGTGAATATTTACCCGGGGGTAGGGATGTGGGTGGGGGTGGAGGGTGGGGCAGTGAAGAGTGCAGCGTCTCCTTCAGGTAAACAACTGAATAAACACTGGCACTGGACACAGTTAACCATTACACATTTCTGATTGAGTCAGTAGGTTGACAGGTTGGGGCCTACCGTACCTTGGTCATTAGCCATTTTATCAGGGTGTTCAACTGCAAGAGAAGACAATATCATTAGACCTCATGAGCTTGAGGGATGTGGACATGGGATGGGAGGGGCATGTGCTGCAGACATTACTAGCATGGGGCGAGGAGGGGCGGGCGTGTGGGAAAGGGAGCAAACAGAAGATCGCTGCATTTCTCAAGCCAACCGACATCTGACTGGAAGAGGGGAGGATAAGGGAGGGGAGGAGGACAGCCATTTTCACGTCAGCATCCCATCTCTCTCCCCCACAGACCCGGGAAGAGACACACAAAATATTCATCACTCGGCGCTTCAACTCTCTGTGGCCATTTTGTGCACAGCAATGCTCCACAAACAGCTATGACGTGAATGGCCAATTGGCCAGGACACAGGGAGAAACTCCTTTTTCTTTGCCAACGGCATCGCAGGAACTTTAGGCAGATAACACCTGGTTTAACATTTTATCTGATGCAGTGCTCCCCCAAGATTACACTGGGGCATCAGGCTATGAGATCAAAGTTCAGTAACTGGTTGAAACCTTGCACTGAAACATATAGGGGCAGAATTTGTGGTATCACTTAGCTCTTTCCCGGTCTTAATTAGCACAAGGAATGTCTTAAGAGATACAGCAACATTTTAGGGTATGGGGTAAAAGCGGTAAATGGGACTGAAAGGATTGCTCTTTTAAAGAGCACAGACTTGATGGGCTGATTGGCCTTTTTCTGTGCTGAAAATTTCTATGGTGACACGGTGATTGGGAGCCACAAAATCCCAACCCCACCAAAACAAGGGGTGATAGATAGGTCATGGGTTCAAGCTCCCACATCAGGGGACTTTGAGCTCACAAGTCTAGGCTGACGCTCCAGTGCAACAACAACCACAACAAAATTACATTTGTAAGGCACCTTTCATGTCGGGAGGATGTCCCAAGGCGCTGAGAAATGCTTTACAAATATAATTTGGATGTTGAAAGACTGCAAAGAGAAGGCACTTTCTCCCAGTGTCCCGGCCCCCGTTGAATTGATTGCTGACTTCATGGCTGGGAGTTTGCTGTGTGGCAATCGACTGCTGTGCTTTACAAGCGCTCAGGAATGACAGTTTTGTCAGCAGTTTCTCGTAAAATGGGTTGAGATATTTTGGCATTTACAGGCGCTGCTTCAAACAGAATTATTCTTATTGCAATTACAATTCTCTGTATTATTCTTATTACAGAGGAGCCTTATTATAACAAGGCAATTGGGATCCATAAGATCCCATCCCCACCAAAGCGGTGTAATAGCCAGTTTTGCTGGTCTTCCAGGTCATCAGATCTCCACCAACATCACTGCCTGTGAGCTACCTAAGAGCAAAGCAGGAAATGACATTGGAATTGATCTGATGACCCCCAAAACCGGATATTTTAAGGAAGCCAAAAATGGCCGACGTCCGGTTCATCAGGTCTCCACCGATATCACTTCCTGCGTGTAGCACTAGAAGTGGCATGGGCGATGACACAATGACCCACAAGTTGGACATTTTAGCACCGCAGCAGTATCACGTGGGGCTGATCTAAATGAGGAATGCTGCATATTCAAGCTCAATCATTCATTTTAATGACAATGCGGAAAAATAAACAGCTCCGTAAGTCAATCTCCCAAGTCAATTCTAAGGCGTTCTAATCTGCATGATCGCTCCTTGTTACCTGACTCCTGCAGTTGCACAAAATCATTTTAGAATTATTAACATTATCATTTCCATTATTCTTCCTGTAGCTAAATTTACAGCCTACTCGGCAACTGACTCTGCACTCCACGAGAAAGACGCGTTTTCACTATTGTGATTTTTAGGGAGAAAATAGAGGTGGCAGAGGTGGGGGTGGGGGTTAAGTATGTGTGTGGAGGGGGGGAGAGCTGGGAACAGGAGGTGCTGGAATAATAGGGAACTGTCTGTAGAGATTGTTATAAACCGTGTCTGCACATCATTAACATTGCTTTAAGTACAACTTATACAGTACAATACAATTTACATTTCCTATCTCGTCGGAAGGATGGCTTAAAGTGCTTAATATAGCTGGCTGGTCCCGAGCTGGGGTTGGAGGGATGGTGAAAGATGACTGAAAGCACGGTCAAAGAGGTAAGTCATACGTTGGGTATTATGAAACTGTAACACAAGTGGGAAGGGGGATGTGGAGCAGGCGACAAGTCAGATGGACTGTGGTGATGGAGTCCAATTGTCCTGTGAAGCTGTTTAAATGTGTGTTCCCGGTCAATGCCAAATGCCTTGTGACACACTGGCCGGGGTGGGGGGGGATTAAGTACGACTGCGGAGAGCAGTCAAGGCAATGAGCAAACAACAAAGACTACACGAGGGGAAGGACGGTCACTGGGCGACAGCAGCCTCTTTGAGTATAATGTTTCTTGCTGAAACCCCCAACCTTTAGGTGTTCTGAACAGGACGGGGTCTGACAGGGGTCCCAGGCCCTTGGCGTTGCGACCCTGGATTCGGAAGTAGTAGAGCGCGTCCAGGTTGAGGTCCAGGATCTGGTGGGTCAGCCTGTCCCCACTGACCGGCTCCATCACCCAGTCATCAATTGGTGCGTTCTTCTCAGTCGTGTAGAACATGGAGTAACCTGAGGGGAGGAGGACACGGACAAGGACGATCACCAGTTAGAGGATGAACTGTGAGCAACGATTAGACACTTTAGGGATTTTCAAGAAACGGGTATCTCAGAGATAGGGTGGTCTCCAACTGCCTTTTTTACCCATTTTTTAACAAAAAGAAATGATGTGCCTTTTTGAATGGTGAATCGCTTTCTGGGGGTAATAATCCCTCCAAAGAAATGTAGTCACTCAATCCGCGACCGTTTGTGGGATACTGCGGTTGCTATATTTTGCTAACAAAATATAAAGGCAACCCACTTATTAATATATTCTGTGAAGCGCTTTGAGACGTCTCAACGAGATGATAAGGCACTATATCAAATGCAAGGATTATTATTATTATTACAACCCACAGCACTCTGCTCCTTAAAGTCCCAGCATCCCAGGATTCAACCACTCTTCCTCTTAAACCCCATTCCAGTCATTCATAACCTCTTCCTGGTGCCTGGCTTGAAATTGCCCTTCACACACCCTTGAACTGTGTGGAGTCAGAAACTTGCCTAAGGTTTCGCACCGCCCGGGAATTGAATCCCGGACCTCTCGCTTGTCAGGCGAGCGCTCTAACCACTATGCTACAGGACTCCACAACCTAAGAGTTAGAAGGGTAAGGAACTCACCGATAATCTTTCCGTTGGCCTCTATTGGTGGCTGCCAGCTGATGATGACAGCTCGAGGCTTACCCTCTCTGCTGATGATCGTCAGATCCTTTGGGGCCGAGGTGGGTGCTGGTGCCGCAAGTAGGAGGCAGAAGATAGGGAGGAGAGTGAGCGTTAGGAGGAGAGACAGTGCCAATGTGGAGCATTGCAGAGGCTTCTAACACAGGCACCAACCACACACGCGCGCGTGCGCGTACATTTCAACCCCAGGTACAAACTCTGTCTCGTTGTATCACATCTCAGCCGAGGCCTGTCAACAGCTGCCTGTCAACAGTTATAGGTGCCAATAGGTGCCTGTCAATGGGCGTTTGCTGGAGTTTAAGCAGCTAAAACTACATAGCTTGATATTGACATTGTCTGCAAACTTTCCCGGTGCTTGTCCATCTAGGACCACCCTTATCCGTTAGGAATATGGCTTCCAGGTTAATGGGAGTTGAGTGGGATAACTCCCTGCCCCCAGTGGTCTGCCCTTCCAGATCCTGCCGATGTGCCAGGCTGGCCGTGCTGTCATCAGCATTACCCTGGAGTAATATAGTCTGGTTCAGGAACCGGACTACATACCGTCACAATGGGTTGACTCCATTGCGATATTCTATTGACAGTTCATCACCTTGGAACTAGTTGAACCGCAAACAGGCGCCGCTGACAAGCAATGAAAGGACTCACCGGCTTCAAACGTTTTAGAATGAGCCGTCATGCTCCACGTGCTGGACCTCCGACCTTTGGTTACCATGACGGAGAACTCATACATGGTGTTGGGTTTGAGGCCGGTGACGGTATGGCTCAGGGCTGTGGTATCTGCAGACTGGAGGGCAACCAGAGAAACAGAGAGAGAGAGAGAGAAAGAGAGAGAGACAGGAGATCAGGTCAGGACAACCACAACAACAGTTACGTAGCGCCCTTCAACCAGGGTAGCGTCTGAGAGGTCGGTGAGGAGACTTGAGGTCGAAGTTACCTTGAACTTGGTGTTGGCAGAGTAGCTGGTCCTCCATCGCACGGTGTAAAAACGCACCTCAGACACCAACCGCTGGTTCTTGGGGGCCGAGTTGTCTGCCCAGCTGACACGGACAGAGTCGTGGCTGACCGACATGGCCTGGACACCTACAGGTGGTAGCATGGGGGTGGAGGTCTCTGGGACTGAGGTTGGGAGGTCACCAAACAAATGGAACAAATCAACATCTAAAGGGTCAACAGGGTCTGGGAGGCGAGACCAAAAGTCATGCATCGAATCGAGGAATGGGGAATGGGGAACAGGGGTGTGGGTGCATAGGTGGGGGGGGAGGAGGAATGTGGGGGTTTGGGGACAGAGAAACAGCGGCAATAATTGCAAACGTGGTCAGAATGTAAACAATGACGTGAAATGGTGTGAGAAGATCACGGAGGAGGGAGGGGGAAAAAAAGTGCAGATTAATTGAGTCAGGAAAAGACCGTTTGACATCGGGATAATCCCCTCTCGGAGCGGTCTTCCCATAGGGAGTAAACAGGACCGATCTGAGTAACGAGCATTGGGATAGAGCAAAACAGGATAAGGCCTCTGGGGGCCATTAGATCAAAGTTACTCTATGTCTCACACCTCAGTCCATTTCTTTGTGATAACTATCTGATTCTCTCTTGAATTTACTGACACCATTGCCTGTTAGAGTTGTCTGTCCCACACACTCACTGCGTTCTGTAGATCTCTCCTGAGCTTGGACTCATGTTCCCTATTGTGTGGAGCTTTTCACCAAATTAACCATATAATCAGTTTATTGCTACACTTCAGTGTCTCTATCGTTTCAACAGGATCTCTCAACTCAGATTCCCTTCACCGGTGTTAACATTGCCAAGCTCTGTAGCCTCTCCTCATATCGGGGCGGATGGGATGGAGGGAGGGGGCTGGGGAAGGAGGGAGTGTGGGGAAGGAGGGAGGGAGGTAAGGAGAGAGGCAAAGGAGGAAGAGAGATCAGGAGAAAGGGAAGGAAAGTATGAGAGAGCGAGGGACGGAGGTGTCAGGTCCGCCATTAACCGGTGTAATGTGACATTGTAAATATGAGTACTGTCCATACTGTTACACAAGCAGAATGTGGATAGGCACATTGGGGGGTGTGGGGGGAGGCAGCGGACACTAATGATCGGGGGAGAGTGGGGGTGGGGAGAGAGAGAGAGAAGTAAAAACAGGGGGAAATTTAACCAAACAGAAATAAGATACATTGAAGTGGGACGATTTTGTCACGTTTCTTAACAGATTTCTTGTTAATTAAATAATGAGTTATGTCATCCTCTGTGCTACCTGGGCAGTCTCATGTGGCAAGTGAGCCGACCAGCAAGCAGGACTCCATGTGTGGACAGAGCACAGCACTCACAGAATCATAGAATTATAGAATTATACCGCACAAAAAGAGGCCAATCGACCCATCGTGCCTGTGCCGGCTCTTTGAAAAGAGCTATCCAAATCAATCCCACGCCCCGCTCTCTCCCCATAGCCCTGCAAACGTGTCCTCCCCAAATAATTATCTACCTCTTTCTTAAAAGTTGTTATCGAATCGGCTTCCACACTCTTTCAGGCAATGCATTCCAGATCCCAACAACTCGCTGTCTGTAAAAATTCTCCTCACCCCTCCTCTGTTTCCTTTAAAAAGTATCTAAAAGACCGACCCAGCCGCCAGTAGAAATAGCTTCTCCTTGTTCACCCTATCGAATCCCCTCATAATTTTGAAAACTTCTATTAAGTCTCCTCTTAACCTTCTCTGCTCCAAGGAGAATAATCCCAGTTCTCTCGCCTCTCCTCATAACTGAAGTCCCTCATTCCTGGTACCATTCTGGTAAATCTCCTTTGCACTCTCTTCAGTGCCTTGACATCCTTCCTAAAGAGTGGGACCTAGAACTGAACACAGTCTCTAGCTGAGGCCTAACCAGCGTTTTATAAAGGTTCATCATAACTTCCTGACGTTTGTATTCTGTGCCCCTATTTATAAAGCCTAGAATCCCATATGCTTTTTTAACAGCTTTATCTACATGTACTGCCACCTTCAAAGATTTACTTATATGAACCCCCAGGTCTCTCTTGTTCCTTCACCCCCTTTAAGATTCCACCATCAGCTTATATTACCTCTCCTGATTCTTCCTCCCAAAATTTGCATTTATCCACATTAAACTTCATCTGCCATATGTCTGCCCATTTTATCAGTCTGTCTATGTCTGTTAGCAGTCTGCTACTATTTTCCTCACTGTTTACTACTTTTCCCAGCCTAGTATCATCTGCAAACTTGGAAATTGTACTCCCTATACCCAAGTCCAGGTCATTTATATGTACTGTACAGCTCCAATGTGCTTGTGCCAGCTCTTTCAAAGTGCTGTTCAACTAGTCCCTGTCTTACGCTCTTACCCCATTGCTCTGCAAATGTTTTTAAGTACCTATCTAATTCCCTTTTGAAAGCTACTATCGAATCTGCTACCACCACTCTTTCAGGCAGTGCATTCCAGTCTGTAACAACTCTTTGGGTAAAAAAAAAGTCTCCTGGTCTCCCTCTGGTTCTTTGGCCAATTAGCTTAAATCTGTGGCCTCTGGTTTCCGACCCACCCACCAGAGGAAACAGTTTCTCTCTATCTGCTCCATCAAAACCCCTCATAATTTTGAACATCTCTATAAAATTTCCCCTCAACCTTCCCTAAGAGAATAATACCAGCTTCTCTAATCTCACGTCTAGGGATCTATCCCGAATGTTGGCAGTGTTACACATTAGGACTTTTATCCGAGTTTTCAGCTTTTTTTCCCTCGATCGGTCTGGATGCAGAAAGATCTGATCTCATCCCTCCAACTCGTCTGCTCTACTGTTCCTCCCCATTCCACCACAGCATTGAGCTGCTTATTAAAATTATACCCAGTGTCCTGGCCTCCACCATCTGTCCTGAACCAGTCATTAACAACCCTCTGGGTAAAGAAAGACTTCCAGGTGTCAGTCTGGAAAGTCCAGGCTGCAGATTGCGAGCTGGATTAATAATCATCCTTGCTTTTGATAGGGCACCTTATCAAGCCTTCAACACGTCTCAAAGCGTTTCACAGAATATACTGTAAAGTGAATTGACTATGTATTTTTGTGGGCGAAACACAGTAGACAATTGCACACAGCAGTCCCACAAAGAGTCGTGGATTGAGTGACTACATTTTTATTTCTAATAATAATAATCCTTGCATTAGATATAGCGCTTTTCACGTCGGGAGGACATCCCAAAGCGCTTCACAGAACACACTGTAAAGTGAATTGACTGTACATTTGTGGGCGAACGCGGCAGCCAATTGCGCACAGCAATGTCCCACAAACAGTCGTAGATTGAAAATGACCAATTTATTATTGTTTTGTTTTGGAGGGATTATTATTAGGCTCTGTGTGGAGTAAGGAAACTTGCCCAAGGTTTCACCCTCTGCCTGGAATTGAACCCAGGTCTCTCACTTGTAAAGCGAGTGCTCTAACCACTGAGCTACAGGACTCCACAAGACTCCTAGAAGGGATTATTAACTCAATCGACTAACGACTTTACTTACTGCTGGGTAAACAGAGGTGTGGAGTAAGGAAACTTGCCTGAGGTGTTGAGGGCTCTAACCAATACTCTACGGAATTCCAATGCGGTTGGGGAATGGAGATTGGGGTTGTGGTGGGGTTTAGTGTGGCGTTTGGGGAGAGTTAGGGTATAGGATGGAGTTGGGGTTGAGCATGTGATGGGGGTTGGGGTAGGTGTTGGGGATGGGGGTTGGGGTGAGAGCTATAGAGTATTGTGGGCTGTGTTATCAAGTCTAGGTGTCGTACTAATCAATATGCGTAGAAATCTGTTCCACATACATACATGTGACTTTCCTCTCGCCCACCCCTGTCCCCACCACCCCAGCAGAGCTGTACCTGACAAGGCCCTGGTGGTGGCACTCTCGTACAGCGGAACTCCCTCCCCAGCGTTGTTTAAGGCCTTCAGGGAAATGACATAGTGGGAGCTGGGTTCTGCAAGAGAAAGAAAGGTCATTGTTACCCTCTGAGTTTACCAGCAGTCAGACATTGAGGGTGATGTTCTCTGAGCATAAAACCCACACGATTTTCCAGACGGGTTATGACATACCACAATTTCTCAACCCTCCTCAAACCCCTTCCGACAATAGCTTTGTGAAGAGCCCCAAATTCTTTTATCTTTATCTTTTAAAGAGCCCCAAATTCACCGCTGATTATAGGAACTACGCTTGTTTTAAATGGCACACATACACCCGCATTCAATTTGTGGATCGAATTGATTAATAGTTGTAATCAATGTATTGTTGTTATTGTTATCATTGTTTTTATTATTATTATTATATAACAATAATAATACTTGCAGTTGATATAGCATCCTGTAGCTCAGTGGTTAGAGCAATTGCCTCGCAAGTGAGGGACCTGGGTTCAATTCCTGTCAGGGCAAAACCTTAGGCAAGTTTCCTCCACACGCCTGACAATAAAGCGCTTCACAGAATTGACTGTGTATATTGTGGGTAGAAATTATCATTGATATTATTATTGTTGTAATTATTGTTATTGTCATAGAATCATAGAATCACACAGCACAGAAGGAGGCCATTCGGCCCATCGTGCCTGTGCCGGCTCTTTGAAAAGAGCTATCCAAATCAATCCCACTCCCCCCGCGCTCTCCCCATAGCCCTGCAAACTTGTCCTCCCCAAATAATTATCTACTTCTGTCTTGAAAGTTATTATCGAATCAGCTTCCACCATCCTTTCAAGCAATGCGTTCCAGATCCCAACAACTCGCTGTGTGAGACAACAACAACAACAACAACAACAACAACAAGATTCCATTTATTGAGCGCCTTTCACGTCGGGAGGACGTCCCAAGGCGCTGAAACCGATGTACCTAGGTTTTCGATGGAGAAGTAGCGCTGTTTGCTGTCCACCCTCACAGTCTCGGCATAGGGGCTCCCCACCCCATAGCCGATGATGTACCCCCTCACGGCGATGTTGGGGTTCAGAGGTGGAGTCCAGCTCATCACAATGCTGGTGGTGAGTGGTCTAACATGTAGGGAGCTTGGCTGGTCTGGAACCTGAGATTCTGCCGGTCGGACAGAGAGGGAGAGAGAGAGAGAGAGAGAGAGGGACGTGAAAAAATAATAAATGTTAATAATAATTAATTAACAGTAGTAATTCTTGTTCACAGTTCATGTAGCGCCTTATCAATTCTTCGGGACATTCTCAAAGCGCTCCACAGAATATACTGTAAAGTGTAGTGACTGTGTGTTTTATGGGTGAAACACGGCAGCCAATTGCGAACAGTTGCGTCCCACAAACAGTCACGGATTGAGTGATTGATTAGTTTATAAATGTTAAATTGGAATTGATGTATAGAACAGCCATGATCTGACAGAATAGTAAAACAGACTCAAGGGGCTGAATGGCCTATTCCTGTTCCTATAAATGTCTCACCACTTAAACAGGTCCACGCTTTTGCTTTTATTTTTATTCTATTATAATAACAAAAAAAATCTGTTTTCACTCACTTGTGTGTATCTCAGATCTTCTACGTCTCTGAGATTCAATTCACCCTTTCCATCCCTGAACTCGTTGGGTTCTCTGTCCTACTGGTTTGGTGTCAAATTATTGTCACAGCCTGTAAACCTACACTTTTCGACTACACCTAATGACCCCTTTCGCACCCCACTCCCCTCCCCTAGTCCAACTCTGGCCTAGTAAATCGCTCCCAGACCCTATTTAAATGCAAGTCCTTGTTGTTCTGGGTTTACTTTCTCAATCCTATTCAGCCTCATCTTATCTCTGAGATACATTACAAATTTACATTTATATAGCGTCTTTCACGTCGGGAGGATGTCCCAAGGCGTTCAACAATAGTGGCTTGGCATTCAAGCTGACGATCAGAGCTGGGGGGCGGGATGAGGTGGTGGCATTGCAGTGAGTCAATTGGTTATTGTGTTCATCCACAAAATACAGTCACTCCACTTTACAGAGGCGTTGAGACGTAATAGGCGCTATATACGCAGGGTTTATTATACAAAAGTCAACCAGATCCATACACAGTCCACACTCCAGGTGAGGTCTGAAGAGCGCACTGTGCAGTTAGCGTGACTTCTGTTGCAACCAAGAAACAGGGTCTCTGGCCCATGAAGTTGGCAGTGCAGGTTTACAACCTTCCCGATCGGACTGTTTACCGACCGTTATCCCTGTGGAACCCTTCACACAACATGAAAACCTCTATCAGGCCAGAATGGTAAAACCAGAGGACACGGCCTACGATTAAAGTGGGATAAATTCAGAACGAATCTACGCAAACACTACTTCAGCGAACGAATAGTGAACCTGTGGAACAGGCTCCCCAGGGGAACAGTTGAAGCAGGAAATGTTGATTCTTTCAAATACAGATTAAATAACTTTCTTTTGGGAAATAACCTTATGGGATACAGTACATAGGTAGTTCGGGTATATGTGCATGAGACCGCCAGGAAGGTGGAAGGCGAACTAAATGGACCTTGGTCTTTTTTCGTCTAGCATTTCTTATGTTCTTATGCTACTCAGCTGCAGGGAGAAAACCTTCTCCAAATTGCCCCCTCAATCCTCGATCACATCCTTACAGAGTTTGTGTGCTAAATTGGCTGCTCCGTTCACCTACAAAATACACACTTCACCTACAAAATCTCAACATCTTATCTGATATAACAAAGTACATAAGGACTTACCGTCCAGGTCATTTTCAGGTGTTTCGACCGTGCGCCACTCAGACAGTGGGCCTGTCCCGTTCACTGTCATAGCGGCAACTTGAAAACTGTAGTGTCCGCCTTTGTCCAGACCTGTCAACCAAATTCCAGCCGTTGGTCAGAACAGGTAGAGGGTATTGAGTGGAATCTGTCTCCGTCACTATCTTACCCGCAATACAGCCCAAACCCTTATCCTGACATTCGGCCACGCCATACATTGCCCTTCATGCAGGTCAGTGTCTCGGATCCAGGGGTGGGTCAGGCACTGACTGCGGGGGGAGGGGACTGATCATAAGTGTGGTTGAAGAGGTGGGATTTAAAGATGGATAAAGAGTGGGGGGGGGGAAATGCAAGGTGGAGGGATTAAGGCAGGTATTCCAGAGGTGAGGAAGCATACAACACAACAACAACAACAAGATTCCATTTATAGAGCGTCTTTCACATCGGGAGGACGTTCCAAAGCACTGCACAGTTTGGTCAGGACCCGAGCAGGGGGGAAATGGTCAAGGGGAGGGGAGGGAAGGGAGGGAGCGAGGAGGGGGTAGAGAGTTGAGAGGGGAGCTGAAGGCACGCTCAAAGGGAAAGGTCTTGAGACCGACCTTGAAGGAGGAAAGGGAGGAAGCAAGGCGAAGGCACTGGGGGATGGAGTTCCAGAGCCTCGGGGCTGAGAGGCTGAAGGCCCGACCACCGATGGTAGGGCGGTTGGGGCGGGGGATGTGGAGCAGACCGGAGCCAGAGGAACGGAGGGTACGGGCAGGTAAGTAGGAGGATAGTAGGTCAGAGAGGTAGGAGGGAGCGAGGCCGTGAATGGACCTGTAGGTGAAGATGAGGATCTTGAATTCGATCTTCTGGGGGATGGGGAGCCAGTGGAGGCGAGCGAGGGTGGGAGTGATGTGGTCCCGAAGCCTGGTGCGGGACAGTAAACGAGCTGCAGAGTTCTGAATGACCTGCAGCTTGTGGAGGGAGGTGCCAGGAAGGTCGTGGAGTTTAGGATAGAGGAGGAAAGGTAGAGTTGGGTGTCATCCGCATATATGTGGAAGTTAACCCCATGTCTGCGGATGATGTCACCACAGGGGGAGCATATAGAGGGTGAAGAGGAGGGGACCGAGGACAGAGCCCTGAGGGACACCGCACGAGCCAGTGCGGGGGCTGGAGGAAAAGCCGTTTGTGGTGGAAATGTCCATAGACCGCCTGCTCTCCGGCACCAGGCTCCGCAAGCACATCGACACATGACATTTTCCTTTAACACGTCACTGGTTGCCAGTGCAGCAGTCAGGTTCTGGGCTCTCAACCAGTCAACCCCAACAGTCTCCTCCAAACCTCCCAGTGACGGCCATCTCGGGCACGAGGCTGGGGCAACCGGGTTAGGAAAATTTGGGTTTCCAGTGTTTGTTAAAGCATTTCCTTGTGATAATTAACCCAAGAGGCATAGTTTGTAGCATTTTCGAATGCATTTCCTGTGCTACTTATCACACAGAGTAAAGCATGTGGATTCTTGGCACCCATAGCTCTGGAAATTTCAATGCTTGACTCACCCGCTCCTGAATAGGCAGTCGTGAGCTCGGGATAATCTCATCCGAAAGACGGCATAACAATGTAGCCATCGGCGGCCGTGCCTTCAGCCACTACGCCCCGGAACTTTGGAACTCCCTCCCTTAACCCCTTCGCCTCGCGCCCTGTTTCTCCATCTTCAGGTCACGCCTGAAGACTTTCCCCTTTGACCGCGCCTACGGTCACCTTCCCCCTCTCCCTGGCTGGGCCACTGTTAAGCGCTCTGAGACACCGTCCAGCATGGAGGGTGCTATATAAATACAAGTTGTTGTTGGTGTAGTAGTCTACCAGCACTGCACTGGAGTGCCAGCAGACAGGAGGAGGTCTAAGTCCCAATATGGGGCTTGGGACGCACATCGGGACTTCCTCCCGACGTGAAGGGCACCGTACAAATGTAATTTGTTGTTGTTATTTGTGAACCCACAGTTTTCTGCCACCGAATGTATACACCCACGTGCACATCATGCACTCCACAGATAGGATGAAACTTACCTGTGAAGAGGTACCAGAGGTTATTGGGCTCCAGGGTTTCCAAGTCGCCTCTGCGGCCAATCTTTCTGTGCCGGATCTTGTAGCCGGTGATGAAGCCATTCTGCTGGTTGGGAGGTGGTGACAGCCAGCTGACCTTAATACTCTGCAAGACAAAAAGATGTTTGGCTACTACTTTTCCGTTGATCTCCACCGGAACAAGAGGAACGATCGGATCAAGGTTGTCAGTCTCTCCTTTGCCACCAGGTCAGAAGGTTATGGGTTCAAGCCGCCCACATCAGAGCTCAAGGCCCAGACTATACTTTACAACAGCAACTTGCATTTGTATAATAATAATAATAGTCCTTGCATTTGATACAGCGCCTTATCATTTCGTTGAGACGTCTCAAAGCGCTTCACAGAAAATACTGTAAAGTGAATTGACTGTGTCTTTTGCGGGCGCAACACAGCAGCCGATTGCACACAGCAGTGTCCCTCAGTCACGGATTGAGTGACCCATGACTTTTTTTGAAGGAATTATTACTCCCAGAAAGTGATCCGTCAATTGACTAGCAACCGGGTTCCTACTTACTGCTAGGTCAACAGAGGCATGTGGAGTGGAGTGAGGAAATTTGCCTCTGAGCACTCTGAGACTCTGTCTGGCGTGGAGGGCGCTATATAAATCCAAGTTGTTGTTGTTGTTGTTGCCTAAGGTTTCTCCCTGGCCGGGAATTGAAGCTGGGTCCTCTCGCTTGCGAGGTGAGCACGCTAACTACTGTGCTACAGGACGCTGTAATCACAGGGCATGAAGGGATTTATAGATAAGGCTGAGGAATCAATCCACTGGAAGACAGTGAGCCTGGCGAGGACTGAGGTACGGCATTGAGCTGTTGTAAAATCCCACACGGCATTCTAGCAAGATGTGAATGTTGTGTGTAGGTTGTGTGTGTAGAAAAACGTACACACACACAATGTACACACACTTAGATAACATGCACACACACACAATATACACACGCGTAGATAACATGCACACAACAACCACAACTTGGATTTATATATATTATAATATATATGTATATATTATATCTCCACGTGAGAATGTGGGTGGCAGAGTTTGAATGACTTGGATTTTATGGATGGTAGTGGATGGGAGACCGGCGAGGAGGGAGTTAGAGTAGTCCAGCTAAGAGGTGACAAAGGCATGGATCAGAGTTTCAGAGGCTTTTGGAGAGAGGCATTGGCGGAGATGGGCAATGCGTCTGAGGTGGTAGAAGGCGGTGCTGGTGAGGGACTGGATGTGGGGGAAGGAAGGACAATTGGGGGTCGAATCTGACACCAAGGTTGCGTACGGGTTCAGAGAGTTTTAGGGGGAGTCGGGTAGGTGGAGGAGGTGAGAACCATGGGATTTTAGATGTTGACGGGAGCCAAACAGTATGGCTTCCGTCTTGTCAACATTCAGTTGAAGGAGGTTTGCGCTCATCCAGCCCCTGAGATCTGACAGGCAGAACATCAGGGGACTGGGGGTCTCAAAGAGAGTTGGAAAAATAGAGTTGGGTGTCATCCGCATACATGTGGAAATGTACCCCATGTACCTCAAGGATGACATCCCCAAGAGGGAGCATGTAGATCAGAAAGAAGAGGGGGCCAACCCGCAGGTGACCGGGTGAGAGCGGGAGGAGAAGCCGCTTGTGCAGATGTACTGCTGGCGGTTTGTGAGGTAGGACTCGAACCAGGCGAGTGCGGTCCCACTGAGGTGGATGACAGAGGAAAGGCGGTGGAGGAGGATGGCGTGGTCGACTGTGTCGAACGCCGCAGAGATGTCCAGGAGGACAAGGAAGCAGAGGGAGCCCTGGTCACAGATAGAGAGGATGTCGTCTGTGACTTTCACAAGCGCAGTCTCTGTACTGTGGGCAGGACACAACACGCGCATACACAGAGATAAAGATATCAACCCCATATCAACCTGTCCACACCCTCACACACACACAATATACACACACGTAGATAACATGCACACACACACACATACACACACAACATATTATTGTTAGTTTATGGGATACTAATATATATATATATTTGTGAGACTGCAGTTCAAATTGGCTGCTGTGTTTTGCCCACAAAATGTCAATTCACTTTGCAATATATTCTGTAAAGCAATCTGAGTCATCTCAACAGCACGATTATTACATATATACACACAAAACATACACACACAGCATACCTACACACAGACAATACACACGAGGCACAATCACAAGATACACACACAGACACACACACACACCAATGCACACAATATACACACAAACACAACAGACATACACACACGCATACACATAGCTAAAGATATCAACGCCATATCAACCTGTCCACGCCCTCAGCTCATCAGGCTGTAGCCTGCTCCATGTCCCCTGACCAGCTCACCCCGCCATTGGCGGACTTCGGCTCCACTCTTTGGAACGCCATTCCATAATCTCTGCCTCGCCCCCTCCCTCGCCTCCTTCAATGCCCAACTCAAGACCCTCCTCTCCGCCTGTACCTTTGGCCATCATCCTACCCCCATCCTCCTGGCCTCCACCCTTCTAGATCCTAACCCCCTGCTCAGGTCTAAATCCCTGACTGTCCATTGCCTTGGGATGTCCTCCAGGCACAGTCAATTCACTGTGTAAATGTAATTTTGGATTGCAGTGTAAAGATACGGGCCAAAAGGAAATTCCACTTTCTGTCAATGTGGGAAATTCTGACTGTGATTTGCTAAAGAGGCAGTTGTGGAGGCCTGCGGTAAGTCCTGGGTTCCCAGCAACTAATTGCAGCGACTAACAGCTGTAATTATAGCCAGCGAAGCAGAGCTTCGATACATCACAGACAATTACGCAGATCTCAGGTAGAGCAGGCTGAGAGGCCAGACTCTCTTTGTCCTTTCCCCTTTGAGTACATGCCTCTGTCGGGCCCAAATAATGACGGTCCTTTGATAATCAAGGCTCCCGGGCTTTCTGCTCCATCGTGGGAGGGTCTATTAGCATTTCCATCGCGGAGATGAGAACTCCACAAAAGCGAGTGCTTACACCTCAGTGTCTCCTCATTAACATGACAATAGGGCGAGATCGAGCACAGCCAAAAGTGAGCATTCACCTCACATGGATGATTTGACCCTAATTTCTCTCTCTCCCTCTCTCTCCCGCGTGCCTCCCCCTCCCTCCACACTTATTGAGTAACTCCTTTCAGCTGAGCACATCACCGAGGTAACCTCCCCCCCCCCACACACACAAAATGTTTTACTTACAATAATAATCCTTGCATTTGATATAGCGCCTTATCATCAAGACCCTTACCCTCAATGTCCTTTCTCCCCCATATCCGTGCCATGACCCGCTCTGCCTTCCCTCACCTCCGCAACATTGCCCGACTCCGCCATTGCCTCAGCCCTCAGGCTGCCGAAACCCTCATACACCCATTTGTCACCTAAAGGCTCGATTACAAAAGCTCCCTCCTTGTCAGTCTCCCCAACTCTTCCCTCCACAAGCTGCAGATCATCCAGAACTCTGCAGCTCGTGTCCTCTCCCGCACCAGGCTCAGTGACCCCATCATCCTCGCCCGGCTCCACTGCCTCCCCATCCCTCAGAGATTATAATCCAACATCCTCGTCCTCGCGTTCAAGACCCGCTCCTTCCTCTCTGTCCTGCTGACCCCCCCAGCAACCTGTCCACTCCCTCCGCTCAGCAGGCTCCGGGCTGCTCCATGTCTCCCGCCCGATCTTCCCTACCACCAGCGGCCGGGCTTTCAGCCTCTCTGCCCCCACCCTTTGGAATTCCATCCCACAATCCCTTCACCTTGCTCCCTTTCTTGCCTCCTTCGAGGCACGACTCAAGACCCTCCTTTTTGACCTTGCCTTCAGCCACCCTCTACCTCTCTGCCCTCCCTCATCCCAACCCTGCCCCCATCCTCAGGTCCTGATCCCTGCCTGTTCAGCGCCTTGGGATGTCCTCTCGACCGAAAGGCGCTTTACAAATATAATGTTGTGGTTGTTGTTGTTGTTGTTGTTCACAAATGTAATTTTGGTGATTTTGTTCTTGTTGTTATCATGTCTTTGAAATGCCTCAAAGCGCTTCACAGAATATATTGTAAAGTTTAGTGACTGTGTATTTTGTGGGTGAAACGTGGCAGTCAATTACACACAGCAGCGTCCCACAAACAGCCGTGGATTGAATGACCAAATTATTATTAGTAGTTTTTGGAAGGAATATTACACTCGGAAAGCAATCCACTAATCGACTAATAATCGGGTTCCTACTTACTGCTAATTAAACAGGTATGTGGAGTAAAGAAATTTGCCTAAAGGTTTCGCCTCATCTGGAATTGAACCCAGATCCTCTCGCTTACGAGGCGAATGCTCTGACAGTTACGCTGCGGGATTTGCCTAGTTTTAGTCTTGAGGCCATTTTGCTCAATGTTTAAGAACGTGCGGAAAAATTCTTACATAATAATATATAATAATAATCTTTACATTTGGTGTAGCACCTTTCACGTCAGGAGGAGGTCCCAAAGCGCTTCACATGATATACTGTGTAGTGACTGTGTGTTTTGTCGGCCAACATGGTGGGGCTGTCATGTTGCTCACAGCAGCGTCCCCACAAACAAGCCATGAAAGTGAATGACTGATTTATTTGGGAGATTGTTGGCCAGGACACCAGGAGAGAGAAACTCCCTTCTCTTTTCGAACAATGCTTAACTTCCACCTGAACTGGGGCCTCGGTTTAAGGTCTCGTAAGCTTAGACTATATAATGTGGAACTTCAACCCATGAACTTCTGACTGAGAAACGAGAGTGCTACCGAACTGAGCCAGGCTTGAATCTGGTCTTAATTTTGACGTCCGCTTTTCCAATTTCCTAAATGAAAACCAGCTTCTGAATTACGACTACATTTAAGAATGTTTCCACAGGTCTAAGTAATAGCAAATTCAAGGCTTAGTCACAGACCGCATACTCCTACCAAAGTAAATTACTTCCCATTCCCTAGATTAAACCTCACCTGCCACCTGTCCGCCCATTCTATGTATCCCTTCCTATTCACTATTTACCAAACTCCCAAGTTTGGTGTTATCTGAAAAGTTTAGACACTATATCTCCTATATCTGATTCCAAGGCATTTCTGAACATAGT